AAGTACAGAGGATTCTGTAATGCCAGTACCTGCACCTCAGCCCAAGGGACTTGCCCTCCCTGTCGTATTATTTGGTTCATTCCATCATTTTATGTCAGGGTGTTGCCTGCAGTTATTGAGCATTTACCATGTGACATTCTGCTAAATTCACAGAACGCAGTGACTAGAGATTCTAGACAGATGATTTGTAGGGTTAGAACTTGATCTAACCAATAAAGGCTTAATTCATCCTGGGATCCTGTTCTTTTTTTGTCTTTCTCCTGTCTGAGTCATCTTTGGTAATGTGCTTTCTGTATGTAGATTTATAGAAGTGCTATATATAATGCTTTTGGTGGATTTTCTCTCATGTTTTAAAATTGCATCTCAGTCACAAAAACTAATAAAATAGTGGTGCTTGCCTGTAAGAAGATACTTTGCAAGTATATGCCCTCTTTTAGTTTTACATTACTTATGACAATTTAAAATTGAGGAAGTAAAAAATGTTACACTTGTTATACCCGTGACTAGGTTTATGAGACTAACTTCTGTGTTAATTTTTTTTTTGGGGGGGTACCGGGGAGCAAACTCAGGACCTTGCTCTTCCCAGGCAGGCACGGAGCCACTGAGCTGAATTCCTAGCCTATGTTAACTTTTTTAACCAGCATGGTAGTTTCTGTCTGTAGTCCTAAGTACTTGGGAGCCTAAGGTAGAAAGATTGTAAAGTCGAGGCCAGTCTGTGCAATTTAGTGAGACCCTATGTCAATATGAAAAAATGGGGCTGTGGATTTAGCTCAGTGGCGCCGCTCCTGAGTTCAATCCCCGTACCAGTAAATAATTAATTAATTAATGACTGGGGGTGAGCTCAGTGAGAGCGCACTTGCCCACCATGCATGAGGCCTGGGTTTGATCTCCAGCCTACACAAAACCCCCCAAAACACCTCCACAAAAACACTTGCAGAGTACTCTGTCTTGACTACTCAGTTTCTGAGTTTAGTTGCAGGCAGCTTATTGGTCAGCTTTGATAAGTTAAGGCAGATTTTCAGGAGGCTGACCCTTGCTTGTGTCAGTACTAGTGGGCTGAATTTGTAGCTGGTTTTGTTTTGTTTTTGTTTTTTAACCCCCGGTCTGTGTGTGAGTCCTGTGTCCTCATTCATGTCCTTGTTTGGTTCTGCTGTGAATGCACAAAACAAGAACAATCCCCGTGGCGCCTTTGCCCGGTATTTGATTGTTCTGTCCCCTTTTGGGTGGACCCGGACTGTCTCAGTGATATCGCAGTTTACTGAGTCTCACCTGAGAGTTGTCTCTTAGATTCCTTTTATTCTATAATCTCTCATAGCCAGAGTCAGGGAGTGCTGCTTATTACCATGTGATAATCAGGTATAATCCAGCCTCTTGGGTACAATGAGCGAAGAATTGCAAGCACGCAATCCAAAAGGCAAGTAGAGAGCAGCTACATTTATTGAGATCGTGGGAAGTTGTGCTCAGGGCAAGTTTGTGACCACAAAAGATACGGCACACACAGAAAAGTGGTGTTGGGGTGACAGTGTTATAGACAGATGAGTTAGGTAGAGATATAGGCAGTCAGATAGGACTAGGTCCTCGAGAGGGTCCGGACAAAGGTAAAACATACCGTAGCTGTGACCGGAGACACACCAGTTGGAAACAGGGCCCCAAGATAAAGACAAGATGACCAGACCCACGTACTTCCTCAAAGAACGGACACTGGGCCTAATGAAGTCTGTGTAAACATCAGCCACCTGGTAGGTGACCAGAGCCCTCTGGACCCACCACCTCCTAGGAGAACCTTTGTTCTTTCCATCCACGCTTGTTACGTGACGTTTCCAACTGGACCACCCTCACCCGTGTCTATACTTGTAACTTTATTGGGCATTCATAGCTGTGGCCCACATTTTACCCATGTGGGTTTCACCCTATAAAACTCCTCTGTAAAATAGGGCCCCCAGGCTACCCACTTGGTCCCCTTCTTCCCCCCAGGAGCATTCCTATCAATAAATACCTTCTTACCATTACCCTCTGTTCCAAGAATTCATTCTTCAGTTTTTAGAGAGCAAGAGCTCAGGGTATCACACAGTTAATAAGTTGGGAGATATAATATTTCACATTTCATTTCCAGTATTATTTCCTGTAACAACAGAATAGCAGAAGCACCACACAAAGAACATAGCACACAGCAGCCCCAAGATTTACCAGGCTTTTGGAATTTAAAGGATATATGCCTCAGTCCTTGTGTCTCCCCGAACCTTTAGGTGTGGTTGACAGGACTGATTGGCAGGGTGTTGATATATCAGGGGCACTCCACAAGCATACTTGTTCCAAAATTCACTCTGATCCTAATTACATACATGATATGCAGTACATATTTATGAACCCTTAATGAGGTTTGAGTAAAGCGAAGGTGACTGACGGTCAGGCTGGGAAATCCAAAGCCTATTTCCTCACCTAGAGCCTCAGAGGTCTCTTGAGTTATTGTTATTTGATTTTCTACAAGTCCAAGTCAAGAATTCTTAACTATAATTATAAATAATTCTTATCCTTGAAGGCTCAACACAGTACCTCCTGTGGGAGTTCCAATGCCACATGCACTCACTGTGGTTTTAATGTTACTTTTCTGTGAACACTCCCAGTGCATGGAGTTCAGCTCTTAGGACAGGAATGGAGACAGTGTGTGTACACAGGTAAAATGTCCTTCTACCCAGGAAGTCTGAGTGTGGTAGCAGGCATAAACTCCACTGCGGTAAAGTTTACTGATATCTAAAGAAGGCATGTACACTTTGAGAGGGAGGGTGGTGTTGCAGTAGCAACATACAAAAAAGAGTCAAAAGAGCCAAATCGGCAGTGCCATTTCAAGACTTAGTGGAGGTTTGTCCATCCCATTGCCTGCTCCTGGCTCATCTAGGAGGATGTATGAGACTGTCAGTGCCTGGTGTCGTTGAGCTTTGGGTCATAGTTAATTCCATTTGATTACCACATAGTGATCTGTGTAAAAAGTAATGCATGAAGTAGTTCGCTCTGTAGGAAGAAAGGATTCTGTCATTTCTCTTGTAAATAAAGAAGATTTATGTACCAGTATTTTTGTTAATGTCCCTAAGTAACATGAAATATATTCATATTTCTGGGGATACTGACTTCACTGGGATAGTGGTACCTTGTACCCACTGATAGCTGGTCAGCCAGTTTTTCTAGTGATGATTTCTACTGTGATGTGCACCAAAATATACTGGCTTTGTTTAAAATGGCCTATGCAGGTATTTTTCTTAGACTTCTAAAGTGCTAATGTTCAAAAAATTCGGGTAAATAGGTGAGATACTAAGCAGTCTTTGAATATAGTGATGTTTTCCTGCAATATTATTACCAGATATATTACTAAAAATTTGCTAGGCCTTCACTCACCCTGACATATCCTTCTTTCAAGATTCATGGAACATGAGGAAAAGAAAGATGGGAATGGAATTAACATGAGAAAAAGAAAAAATGGAAATGAAGTCTTTGTAGATAGGAAGGGATAGAGGGGTTGAAGGGAGGGCAGGGGAATGGGGAAAAAATAAGAACCAACATGGGTTTGATGATGAATGTTAATACGTTTTATACCTGAAATGTACCGATAAAATTAATAAAAACATGGAATAAGTTTTGAATTTCAACTTATTTACAGTTAAATAATGAATTTGGGATTTTTGCAAAATAGTAGCCATTTGTATTGGGCAGTGTACCTGAGTATATTTTACATTTAAGACATTTTTTGTTGTTGTGGTGGTTGTGGTGGTGGTGATACTGGGGATTGAATCCAGAGCATTTCCATAATGCATATCCCCAGTCCCTCCCCCTGTTAAATTTTGAGACAGCATCTTATTGCTTGGGGTGGGATCAAATTTGTAATCCTTCTGCCTCAGCCTCCTAGAGTTTGCCACCATGCCTGGCTTGTTTAATCCCCCTTTTTTTTTTTTTTTTTTTTTTTTTTTATTTTTTTTTTTTTAGAGCCTGGAATAGAACTCGGGGCCTCAAGCTTGCCATGCAGGCACTGTGTGGCTGAACTACATCCCTGGCCCTTGTTTAATACTTTTAAAAAAAGTCTGCAAAATATTTTTTCAGATGAAGAATCTGAGATCTGAAAAGGCTAAATAACTTTTCCATTATCACAGCAAGGAATATAGCAGAGTGACTTTGAACCCAGAGCTGTTAATTTCCAAAAGACTTTCTTTTACTAATGTAGAATACTTGCCCACCACATTTAGTTGTGTTAAAAAATATATATGTTTTGGGCCGGGGATTTAGCTCAGTGGCTCCATGCCTGCCTCGTAAGTGCAAGGTCCTGAGTTTGATCTCTAGTACCAGGAAAATAATAATAAAATTAAAATATATATTGATTTTAATAATTATGTATGTGTTTTAATAATTACTCTTTTGTGGTACTGGGGATTGAACCCAGAGTCTAGACATGTTAGGTGAATGCTGTACCCCTAAACTGTGTATCCCCACCCCTACTCAAACCTTTTTACAAACCTGTGCAGCTTAATTAAACAACTGTGCTACATTTATTTTGGATATTTTTCTTGTTTGGGGATTTTTAAAAATAAAAAATATTGGAATTTCCATGTTACTGTATACATTATTTTCACAGTTGATTTCGCTGAGATACATTCTTACCTAGCTGTAACAGACCTTCCTTCCTCTTCCCTAATTTCTCCAACAATGTTGGTTCACGCCATTCTTTATTCGGTATTTGCTGTTCAGTATGTGAATCTCTTCTTTGACATGATTATGTACTTAGCCATGTATGTGTGTGTGTTTTCTTTCACATGGTTATGTATAGGTTCATCACCCAACAGAATCTCCCAGTGTTCCCCAAATGCAGATTCTGCCTGTTCGGCAGCAGCAAGAAGCTCAGCATTGTTTTGTGTTGGAGGTGTGACTTGAAAGGGACAGACATTCCTACTGCTTAGCGAGTGCTCTAAGCTCTGCCCTTGTTCTATTATTAATGGCACCATGTTTGTATGTTGCAGATGGCTGAGAGCTAGCAAGAACAATTCAGGACCATGATGGCTCAGTTTCCCACCGCTATGAATGGTAAGCAGCTTGTGCTTGTGGCAGGATACAGAGGATATAGAAGTTTTTCGGTAGAGACTTAAAATATTTGTGTAGATGATTTTCCTTAACCTTATAAATGCAAATACTGAATAGTTTCTCTGATGTGAAAGACTAAAAGTATAAATAAGGTTCAAATTGTGTAATTGAAAATGTGAAATAGGAAGAAAAGGGCGAAAGGAGTAGGGGAAGTGGGTTAGGGGAAAGGAAATAAGGGAAAAGAAAAAAATGCGAGAAAAGGAAAAAATGGAAACAAAATCTTTGTAAATAGGGAAGGGTAGAGGGGGTGAAGGGAGGGCAGGGGATTGGGAACAAAATAAGGACCAAGATGCATCATATAAGGGTACAAGATCCCAATGATGAACGTAACTGTATTGGACACCTAAAATATACCAGTAAACTCAGTGAAAATAAAACATAAATTTTTTAAAATGCAAATTTAAAGTATTCCTGTTGAAATACTGTCAAGTTTATCTTAGAATACTGCATGTGTCTGTCCTGTGAGATTACTGTGCCGTAAATCCCGTGTCTTTGTGCAGATGTGTTCTGCAGCATTGTTTAGAATGTTTGCTTGCCATTGAACACTTAAGAATAGCCTAAAGATGTGTTGTGTTTTATGCATAAAACTGAAGGACAAAAGGCAGCACCCTACCAGACAAGCATGAAAAGGGTTTTCCTCTCACCAGATGATTGCAGACAAAGCCAGTAGCAATTGAGTAATATACTCGTAAGATTGCTTTCCATTTGTGAAGAATTATGTATGCTTACATATATATTTGTTTAATATGAAAATTTTTCAGAGAAAATGTTTAGGCAATTTCAATAATGAAAACTTGTAAAAGCATTTGTTCCGATTCTGGTTTTAATCCCTTGCCCAAAGCCAAATTATCTCCCCTAGATAGTTACTAAGTTACCGTGTGCACTGTTTAGAATTGAGAAAATGCATTATGCTCAAACCACCAGACCAAGAAACCTAGGTGATGATTTCTTAGTTTTGTGTAAGTTTTATTAGCTGATTGTAGGTAAATACAAAGTTGTAAAGAACTGTCAATGCTTTTTTTCACACCTAAATTGAAAACAGTAGTATTAAGGAATAACCATTCCACAACCTTCAGAAAGCAGTTGCTGTGATGTTACTATCCAGTATTTGAGCAATAGCATCTTCTTCTAACTTGTTTCTATTCCTAGAGCTAAATCAGCACATTGTTGATAAACTAAATGCATATTGTATATTCAAAGATTTGAGCTTAGAAATTTTTCGTTTGGGAAAAATGAATTATTTGCACAAAAAAGTAAGTTCTATAAGATTCATTGTCATATCGTTGTTGTTTGCTTTATCAGAACTATTTTTAAAGATTAACATAAGAAGTCTTCCATCAGGCCTGTGACTTTGAATTTTGCCATCCACAGTTAAATTTAATTCTAACAGATTGCCTACAAACATATTCTTAAAAATTCTTTTTAAAAGGGTTAATGTGAGCATTGCTTCCATTTCGGACATGATATGGAATTATACAGATTGATGCACCAGACAGATTTTTAAAATGAGTGATGTATATGTTTAAAATCAGGTTACTAATTTTAGTAGTAATGTGCTCTTACTCAAATTTGAAGAATTCATGTCTTATAAAAGAGTTTGAACTAAATACAGTTTAATTATAGATGTCAACCAAAGTGTTAGGTTTATACACAAAATGAGCATAAAACAAGGCAGCATGGGCCCACTTTTCTTCATTCTATTTCTACTTCATGAACATTTATTTATCTACTTTATGGCCCATGACATTATATATAAAAGAATAATATTGGGAACAATGTTAAATAACAAAAGAATGTTTATAAATAAATGTCCATAATGTTAAAAGTTATTTGGAAGTATTATGTAGTAACAAAGGTAGTCATTTTTTAACTTAGGAAGAATTTATAGCAAACAGAGACTGTAGTACCCTACTAGTTAGTTTATAAGGCAGGTGAAAATTAAACTTAGTTCTAACTAAAAATTAACTTATGGCTAATATAAGTCCAATTTAGCATTTAGGTTCTTCTTTTTTTGTTTTGGTGGTGGCATTGATGATTGAATCCAGGGCCTTACACATGGCAGGATGCTAGGCAAGTGCTCTCCCGCATAACTATGAACCCAGGCCAGCCCTTTTAAGTTTTTATTTTGACTTTCCCAAATGAAAAAATGGGCAACCAAAATAAATAGGTTCTTCTCAGGAGTACAGCTGGCCAATGAATACATGAAAATGCATAAAACATTGCTGGCCATTTAAGAAATACAAATTTAAATCACACTGAACTTTCATTTTACTCCAGAAAGAATCTCCATCATCAAGAAATCAAATAATAGGGCCAGGAATTTAGCTCAGTGGCATCATGTCTACCTCACAAGCACCAGGTCCTGAGTTCAATCTCCGTACCAAAAAAAAAAAAATCAAATAACAAATCTGGCAGGGCTGCAGGGGGAGGGGACACCATTCTTCTGCATTATTGGTGGGAATGTAAACTGGTAGAACCACTATGGAAATCAGCATGGAGATTCCTCAGAAAACTAAAACTAGAAATTTCCACATAACCCAGCTATTCCCTTTCCAGATATCTTCCCAAAAGAATTTAAGTTTTGGCTGGGCCTGGTGGCGCACGCCTGTAATCCCAGGACTCGGGAGGCTGAGGCAGGAGGATCGCTGTGAGTTCAAGACCAGCCTGGGCTAAATAGTGAGTTCCAGGTCAGTCTCAACTACATAGAAAAAAAAAAAGAATTTAAGTTTTATTACAGGGATACATGCACATCCATGTTTATAGCAGCACAATTAATGATAGCTAAATCTTGAAAGCAGCCTATGTCTATCCACAGATGAATAGATAAAGAATAAGTAGTATTTATACACAGTGGAGTACTTCTCCACCAGAAAGAAGGATAAACTCGAATGGTGGGCAATGAGTGCACCTTGAGACCATAATGTTAAGTGAAATAAATCAGGCACACAAGTTTAAATATTGCATGGCCTCTCTCATATGAGAAACCCAAAATATAAATAAAGAGTAAAACAAAGAATAGATATAGGAAGCGGGGAGGTAGATCTTTTTCAGATAGGAAGAGGATCAAGAGATGGAGGGAGAAGGGAAGGAAGGGAAAAAGAATTTTAAGAGACTTGAAGAAAAAAGGGAAATAGAGCTTTTCAAATGGGAGGAGAAATGAGTTGGAGGGAATATGCAGGGGTGGGAAGGGAGGGGACAAAAAAGAATTCAGATGTGTTCTGTACATGTACATACTTTCCACAGTAAGTGTAGTCCTTATGTACTACAAGCATGTACTAATAAAACAATAGATTGTATTTTGAGACAGGGTCTTGTTAAGTTGCCGGTGCAGACTTCCAGCTAGGGTGTAAGCATTGATGGATAACACAAAACCGGCTGGGCGTCCAGCACTTGGGAGGCTGAGCCAGGAGGATCAGTGCAAGTTCGAGGCCAGCCTGAGCTAGATCTTGTCTCAACTTCCTTTCTGCCAAAATAGCATCAAAACCAGCATTTCCTCCTTTAGTAAAACCTCAGTCAGAGTTTAAATGTTTTGATGCAGTGCTGCTGGGATTTGTCTGTAGAGTGTATGTTGACCCACTGTTTTGTCTAAATGCGTCTGACATATCCCTCCACTTTTACCATGTATAGACTTTATCATCCTGAGACTAACCACAGACCATTGACACTTTGGTTCTTACAGAGCTGTACTGTCTAGTGTAGTAGCCGCTAGCTACGTGTGGCTATTTCAATTTCAATTAGTAATTAAATACAATAAAAGTTCCACTCTTTTTCACATAGCTGCAGTTCAAATGCTCGCTCACGTGTGGGTGTGGCTACCATACTGCCAGTGAGATACAGAGCATGTACATCATATCAGCAAGTTCTGTCAAACAGCTGTTCTTTTCTTAGTCTCTCTGATGCTTCACTCCACATGCTCTTAACTAAAACAGATCAGTGCATCATGTTTTTACCACCTATGACGTTCATACTGGTCCCTTTTGCACCATAGAATCATCTTTCCAAAGCCTTCTTTAATCATAAGTGCCGATAGGTGAGAAGAGAATAAGTAACAAATCTGAATAAAGATACCACAGTCTCAGTTTAATGATGACTTGAGAGAAGGGTGATAGAAGTTTTTTGTTTGTTTTTTGGTACTGGGGGTCGAACTCAGGACCTTGTGCTTGCGAAGCAGGCTAAATCCCCATCCCCAATAATTTTAATGCATTTCTAACCCGATTATCAGACAGTGTAAAAATTATTAGCTTATTAGATATCATCCCCCAAACTTGGCTTAGTCTGCCTTCCATAAAGCTTACAAATACAGACTAAGATTGGGAGATTTTTTTTTCACAAAGTGCAAAATAGCAAGCTATTGGCTCTTTGAAAGGTTTTGTTAGTGATATATTCTAAGAAAGTGAGCCAGAATGAGATGCACTATTTTTAAAAAAGGCTTTGAATTACTTATATTTGCTAGTTTTCTTATTGCTGTGTTCATTTTTGGAAAATTCTTGGTGCACTAATATCTTATGTTTTAATATGATCATCTGTTCTAAAGTGCCAAGTAGGAAGGTTATTTGAATAGTCTTTAAAAAATATTTCTTATAATGCTTTAGAACATTTCCATTCTGTAGATATATAATTTTGATTGTTGTGTGTTGGCTGGTAGAGTCTCTTAAATATTAGAAAACCTGTTAGCTCCACTCAGGGGTTTATTTTGTTCATCTTTGTGCCCTTAAAATGTTCATTGAGTGAGTGAATATGAAGGGGTCAAGATTGCTGGTTGGAATTAGGAGAAATTAATCAGTAAACATTAACAGGCAGGTTGAGTTGGCCACCATAGATGGGCAGCCAGGGAAAGGTGAAGAGAGAGTAGCAGGTAACAGCGAGTATCATAATGTGGTAAGGATAATGCAGTAGGCTCTCACCTTAGAACAGTGGTCGTCGGTCACTGCCTGGGGATACACATGTGTATGTTACAGCCGCTCAACCCTTCCTGTCAGACTTAGAGAAGCCTTAAGGTTTCTGACTAAAAAGCTTTATGTTCAGTATTTTCTGGTAAGGGGACCTTTACCAGACAAAGGCTGAAAATAATTTGAATGTTCTCTCCCTCTTCCTCTGCTCCTTTTTTATTTGTGTGGGGAGACATGGCCTCACTATTGCCCAGGCTTCCCTTCCCTCCTGGGGTCAAGCCACCCCCCGCCATCTTGCCTCCTGAGTAGTTGACTGTACAGGTGCATGTCACACCGTACCTGCCTTGTTTTTACTTTTAAATTGGGGTCACTGGAGATAGTATTCACCTTTTTAAGTATAAAGTTTAATGAGTTTTGACAAATGCATGCTGTTATGTAAATCTGGAAATAGAATGTGTCCATCACTAAAAAGTTCCCCTAGCCTGACATAATGATGCATGCCTGTAATCCCAGCACTTGGGAGGCTGAGGCAGGACTACTCCTTTTAGTTCGAGGCTAGCCTGGGCCACATAATGAATTCAAGACAAGTCTCAAATGCATAGCATTATCCTGTCTAAAAATAATAAATAAAAATTAAAAAATAAATTTCCTTGTACTCGTTAATTTCCTACCTTTACCTACTAGCAACTACTGACCAGATTTCTGTCCCTACAGTTTGCTTCTTCCAGAATATCATGTATGTCACGTCACACTTTGTGTCCGGCTGTCACTTAACAGAATATTTGAGTGATTCATCCGTGATGTTGCATGGGTTCTTCTTTTCACTGCTGAGCGGTCGTCCCATTGTGTACATGTGCACCACAGATTGTTTACTTTCATTTGCCAACGTATTTGATTATTTCCAGGGCTTAAGAGTTATGAGTAACTATGCAGAAACCACCAGATAACAGGTTTTTATGGAAATAGGTCTTCACTTTCCACCCGCAGTTATGGTTGTTAAGAGTCTGTTGAAGGTTGTATATTAAATATATATTTAACTTAGTAAGTAAATTACCAAAAAGTTTCAGAGGTTAGCTCTTACATTTAGTTTTGTGGTCCATTTATTTTTACCCAGCATGTTGGTCTATTTTTTTTTTTTTTAATTATTGTCAAAACAGATAGTTTAAGACGTAATTAAGCCTGAGTGGATCAACACTTACTGCCTTGGGCAAATTATTTTATCTCTCTGTATCTTTGTGTCCTCCTCTGAAAAACAGTGATAGTAATAGTTACCTTATAGGATTCTTCAAGATTAATTGAAGCAATACATGTAAAGCTCTTGGAAAAGCACAAGACATATGGCAAATTTCATTAAATGTTAACTATTGTAAGTTTACCAATCTGATAGATGAAAGATGGTGTTTAGTGTTACTTTAATGTAATTTATTTTTAAGTATTTGTTGTTTTGTTTGTTTATTTATTTATTTATTTAGTGCCGGGGATCAAACTCAGGCCCTTGTGCTTGCGAGGCGGGCGGTGGAGCCTCTGAGCCAAATCCCTGGCCCTATTTTAATGTAATTTCTACAACAACCCTGTGGAATTGTATAATGTTTCTTGTTTATAAAGCTGGCAATCAAAGTACAGAGAATGAGTATCTTACCCATTTGGGTTGGGGCTTAGTATCACATTGGGGATAGATTCTGATCTCAGCTCCACCCCTTCTTCTATGACCTGGAGCAAGTTATTTTAGTTTCCTCATCTCTAAATTGGGTGTAGCAGTCACTGTTTACCAGAGAAAAAGATATACTACAAGATATACAAATATATGACTTTATGAGACTGGTTTACAGAGGCCACCCACAGAGTCGGATGAGGAAGAGTGCAGAGGGTCTGTCTGCACGCTGAGACAGCAGGATCCCGTCAGAGGTCTGGGGCTCACTGCAGTTGCCATGTGAGTCCGTTTCAGCAGGCCACTGGGTCTGCGGTAGAGGCTGCAGAGTCCATGCCAGAAGCTGAAGAGTGCGCTGGAAGCCAGGAGATGACGACCAAGGCTAAGACCAGAGCTCCTCCAAAGAGACAGAGAGAGGCAGATCCGACATTCTTCATTTCCCCTTTGTACCATCCAAACGACAAGCCCCTTGGGCAGGTCCTCCATATCCTGGGCTGTGGAGTTGTTGAATCATTTAGTTGAGCTTCTCTGACTCAAGTTGACACAATCAGTCTACGGTCAGTGGGGTCGGTTGTACTCGGGCTAACACTAGTACCTTCATTGATAGGGTAGTGGTTGGGGGTGGCTGATGAGTTGCTGCATATAAAATCAGGGCTCAATAAAGCTGAGCTACTTCCATCTTTGTCATCTTTTGGTTGTCATTTGAATAATTATCAATCATGGCTTTTCCAAAGTCATGCATAGTAAATCAGGACCATAGATGCACTGCTTGCCTTCCTGGTCACAGGAATACTGACAGGCTTATTTATTTTCTAATAAACTGATAACCTAGTAGATTTTTACTGCATATGTTATACAGTATTTCTTTTTTTAAGAAAGTGTGTAGGTTTAGCTATTTTAGGTCCTCAGTTCTTCAGTACATCTGTTTTCTTATTTTTAACTATAATCTTAAATCTTCTCTCTCTCTTTTTTTTTTCTTTTTTTTTTTTTTTTTTTTTTTTTTATTTTGGTACCAGGAATCGAACTTGGGTCCTTGTGCTTGCAAGGCAGGCATCAGAATCACTGAGCTAAATCCCTGGCCCTTAAATCTTCTCTTTAAGAGATGATGTTTATAGATTTTTAATCCAGTCATGTAGGCCTAAGAAAAATTTGTTAAATCCATCTTAGTGTTCAGAGTTATAGTAGGCCCCTACTTTTCATAATATGTACTCCTGGAAAATTGCTTTTGTGAGACAGATTTTTACACAAGATAGGCAGCACATAGGTACAAACACATTTGGTTGTTTTTTGGCAGAAATTAAATAAATTGAAAAAATAGAAATGTGGATGGCTATTAGCTATGTTGAAAGTGTGAAGTGTGATAAAGACTTCCTCAGAGAGCTGGTAGAACCGTATGTGAAAGATGGGCAGCAAGAGGGTCTGTGATTGTTTTCTTCCCTTCTTTTCTTTTTTTCCCTGCTCCCTCTTTTATTCACTCAGGCATCTGTTCAGCAGTCATTTTTAAGCGTTTGCTCAGTGCTGAGTACTCAGCTGGTTCTGGAGATAGAAAGGTAAACGCACCATGTCTGCGTCCTCGGGCTCCCGGTGTGGTGGGCAGATGGACAGAGCACAGTGACAGCGTCTTCCGAGGGCTCTGTGGGAGTGTGAAGTCTCTCAACAGTCCGGAAGCAATTAGTGTGATCTGGAGGTGTCCGGGACCCCCTGGAGGAAGTGACATCTGCCCTAGACCTTGAAAGATAAAGTCTGAAGTGGAGGGCTGGGCAGGGAGCTCTGCGGTAGAGCCCTGGGTTAGATTCCCAGCACCACACACAAAAAAGACCCTAGAGAGTTCATCCTGACCCATTTCTTCCCACTTTGCTACTTACACCCACGTGGTGCTCTAGCTAGCACTCTCCTCGAAGCATAGCATCCTGCACATGCCTGATGTCTTAGGTTGTGCCCTCTGTGTGTGAGGGAAATGCTCTTGTGCCACCCCTTGGTGCTGCACAACTCAAGCCACACTTCGGAGCTCTGCCTCAGTCTTACCTTTTCTCTTACCTCACTTCTGATGCTTCTAACTTACAGTCAGTGCAGCTTTTACTGTACACACTTCTGCTTAAGATTTTTCACAGGTTAACAAAAATGTGATAATTATTTTCTAGGTATGAATTATTTGAGGATAAAAATACTGTTTTATTCATCGTCTTGTCAGATCCTTGTTCCAGTGAGTGGTTACAGTATTTACTCAGTAGATGTTGAGTGAATGCGTGAAAGCTTTAGGGTTATGCTATGTAAGGTTCATAGAGTTCTACACTTTGTGGTACTCAGACATTAAATACTGTCATTAAATGGATGCTTATGGTTCTTATTTGCATAATTTGTCTTTCACATATGTTTTAGGAGGGCCAAACATGTGGGCTATAACCTCTGAAGAACGAAGTAAGCATGACAAACAATTTGACAACCTCAAGCCTTCGGGAGGTTATATAACAGGTTTGTACTTATAGTTTGTTATATTTTATTATAAATTATGTTCCTTCTCATAAATCTTAAAGTTAACTTTGATTTAACTGCTTTCAAATTTGTATTAAGTGATAAAATTTGTATCAAGTAGAATTAAAGTAAAAATACTGTACTATGTTATTTTTCCTCAAACTACCTTGATTTGTTATTTTGAGTTTGGTGTATGGAAGATCTTTGCTTGTATACTAAATGGTAGACAAGAATTTCTGTTTGATTGTCTTGTTCGTTTTAATAGTCTATCTAGAAATTTTCAGTTTAATTTTTGTATCAGATACATTTCATGGAAAATAATCTAATCGCTTCATGGTGCCACCTGTCTTTGGACTTTACCAAGAACTGATTGTTTATGCTAGCATTTGTTTTGCACAAAGACTACCATATTCAAAACGGAATTACTGTAGGTGTGTCTTTTGAAGTTTTTTCTAGAAATGAAATTTTATCTCTGTGCCAAAGCCTCTCAGTGCTTTGTATACAGTGATTATTATAATAACTACTCATTAAACTAAAAGCAGAAATTCCATGTGACCCCTTCCTAGATGTCTTCCCAGAGGAGTTAAAATCATGATATTACAGAATGCATCATACCCATGTTTAAAGCAGCACCACTTATAATGCTAGATCTTGGAAACAGCATGTATGTCGGTCAACAGATGAATGGATAAGAAAAATGTAATATTTCTATGTAATGGATTACTATACTCCCATTGAGAAAGATAAACTTGAAGATTCATAGGTAAATGGATGCAACTGAAGAACATAGCTAAGTGAAATAAGTCAAATACACCAGCTCACATATCTCTTGGGTTTCTCTTACATGAGAAATTTTATGGAGAAAGAAAGCACAAAACAGAAGAGAAACAGGAAATAGGGAGAAATTAAAATACTTCCCCAAATTACATATTCTGCTTTAAAATATTTCAATGTCTATGCTAATTTGTTTCATTTATACTGATAGTTTGTTGAAAAGAAAGTTTGTATTAAGTTTGTATTACCTTTTATAATAATATTAGGTTTATATCTCGTATTGAGTAACTACTTTGAAGATAACAATACACAGGGTAATAACGATCATCACTCTCTTATTTGGTTATGAAAATTTGTTTTTTAATAAAATAAGGTACAAACTTTCAGTTATAAGTGAGTAAGTTCTTGGAAGCTAGTGTACACTAAAGTGACTAGTTTATGTAGTGGTAACTACATAATGTGTTAATGTATTATAAATTTGAAATATGCCAAGAGAGTAAATCTTAAATGTTCTCACCAAAATGAAAATTAAAAATAAAAGATAACTATGTGAGGTAAACAAAAAAAAACTATTGTACTTACCAAATTTGTACTAATAATGCCTGATGCTAGGCTAAAAGCATTATATCATTTTATCTTTGCAACAGCCCTGAGAGGTGGACACTGTTTTCTAGATTTACAGATGGTAGAACTGAGACTTTAGAGATTATGGTACCCACCTAAGGTTATAAAGATGATTAGTACTGCTTTGGGCTTTGAAATCTCTCAGCCTGACTTTGGAATCCATCCAATATGGTATAGTTTGATGTACCTTTTATCAAGATTCGATTTGTTTTGATTGCAAGTTAATAACCTCTTGTTGTTCATGGATGATGGCAGAAGGCTTAAGATTCCCGAGTCAGAGAACAAGGACTTTATCAAACAGCACAGGCATGTTTCTGCCACCTTCCTTTGTTCCTGCATGATGCAGAGTGCTCAGAAAGATGCTGCCCATGATAGAGCTGTGTTACAGGAGAGGAACTGGGGTTGGGGAACCTGCTGTTTTGTAGTTTTTAGTTCTTTGTACTGGGTAAAGGAGTTAGGGTTCTGCATTCTTGGCATGCGTAGCAGGACTCAGAGGAGTCTGAGGAAGCCTACGGAAGACTGCTTGGTACTGCTTATATAGAACTCTTTTTAGAAGTTATATTAGACAGAGAGATAGAAAGACAGACAGACAGACACACAGACAGGTAGATAGATAGTGTGGGGGAGTGCTGGGGACTAAACTCAAGGCCTCGCACATGCTAGGCAAATACTCTACTGCTGAACATTCCCAGCCCTATAAATTTTATTAAATGGGAATATTATCAACTAGATCCCCAATTGTGGAATTTATTGTGAAGTAATCTTTCATTACCCCATTAATAACATGGCTTCAGTTGTGATTCGTGTTCTAAAACATATAAGCCTTATTAAAGGAATGTAATTTCATGAGTATTTCTACTTCATTTATTCTTTACTGATTAGAATTAAAATTATAATAAAACAGTAACGCATGCCCATTATTATAATTATTATTTAAGTCATTAGAGTACTTTCATTTACTAATCTACTGCTTGGTTTTTGTTTTTATTACCCTCAGGTGATCAAGCGCGTACTTTTTTCTTACAGTCAGGTCTGCCAGCTCCTGTTTTAGCTGAAATATGGTAAAATGTTTTCTTTTATATGCATACTTAAATTTCTGATGGACTGTTTTCTTTTAAATAATACAGTATCAAAAAAAAAGTATTTTTATCTGTACTCTTTTTTTTTTTGTACCGGGGATTGAACTCAGGACCTTACACTTGCAAAGCAGGCACAGTGCAACTGGCCTTTATTTGTGCTCTTGTAAGAATATTTCTTCAGCTTTTTGGAAAATAAACTTCATCTAGCAAATGAATGATTGGAGAATAATTGGAGCTCTGTTCTAAGGGACAAATGTCTACTTTCATTAGAATTCCTAAGGAAAAAATATATATTATTGAGAAATGTTTCTTCATAATTTGGCAGAATCTCAAATCTCCTTTATGTAATTTTGTAGTATTTTCACTTATTTTGTCATCTATAACTCCCAAACTACCTGCTTCTACAGCTCTCTAGAATATCTAGGGTTGTGTATTTTTAACGTATTTACAATAAAGAGGAACCTCTGCACCATTTCTTTCCTTGTGGAATGTTCCTATGTTTAAAAGAATTCCAGGCACAAAGCATGCATTCAGTAAGTACTTGAATATATTAATAAATTAAATTATAATATTCTTGAATAATTTCTGTCTACTCTGGTAAATTCACCACATATGTCTCCAGGTTCTAGATAGGCCGTGTTTTACTAGGCTCTCTCTGGCCAGAACTTCTTAATGTACTGGTTTTATCTTCTTCTTTTTCATACTGTGTACACAGAAATGCTTACGTTGTTCTTTTCGTGTTCTCACCCTCAATAGTAATGTTAGTTTTCTCCATCTCACCACCTCCACCTCATGCTCTTTTTAGGGCCTTGTCAGACCTGAACAAGGATGGAAAGATGGATCAGCAGGAGTTCTCCATAGCTATGAAACTCATCAAACTCAAGCTTCAAGGCCAACAGTTGCCTGTAGTTCTCCCTCCTGTTATGAAACAACCCCCTATGTTCTCTCCATTAATTTCTGCTCGATTTGGTAAGTATTGATTAGTTTAATAACTTGTAGTTAATAGGTCATCTTGATCAGAAAAGGCTTTGTTAGCATAAAATGATAGTCCCCATACTCAGATAAGAATTATTCAATTCACTGTCATAGCTAGGGTACACGTGTGCCCTGGTTTTCCAGGAGCAGTTGTGGTTTATACCTTTTGTCCTGGGGTCTGGTCTGTTCAATATCACCTTTCATAACTCTTGGGTTGGTGATAAATTATACCCTGCCCCCAGATGATCCTAAATATTAGTCTTTTTTTTTTTTTTTGGTACCGGGGATCGAACTCAGGTCCTTGTGCTTGCAAGACAGGCAGCAGAACCACTGGGCTAAATCCCCAGCCCCTAAATATTATTCTTAATTAGTTTCCTCTATGATCTCATGGAGAGTAGGATAGTAGTTACCAGAACCTGCAGAGAGGAGGGAAGAGGGGGCAGTGATCACTGGGTAGAAAATTACAGAGAAGTAAATGCTGGTGTTCTGTTACACAGCAGGGTGACTATAATTAGCAATATTGCATTATATATTTAAAAATAACCAGAAGAGAGGACTTTGAATTTTTTAGGACAAAAAAATGATAAATGGTTGAGGATATGCCAGACACACTGATTTGATCATCACACAGTGTATACATGTACAGAAACATCACACTGTACCTCACGCATATGTACAGTGGTGTGTCACTTAACCAATTAAAACAAAAAAAAATAATTTTAAACCTATATGAAACTGATTGGAGTTAATTCAAAACTATATGTAAGTAGGAATTTCTTTAACTTAAAAGATTAATTAACCAGCTAAATTTAGAGCCAAAAGTCATAGACTTTGTGCCTAGTAATTTATGTATTTATCAGATATTTTACATATTTATCAGTAATTTTATGTAAACTTAGAAAATGTTTTGCTTAGTCAACTTTTAACTCCAAATAATATACTTTTACTTTGAAAAACTATATATTTTTCAAAATATTTTAAATCATTGTATAGTGTTAATTCCTCTCTTGTATAAATTCTTCTGATTAAGTATCTTAAATTTTAGAAAGCCCTAAAGCATTTTTTATCATCTCTCATACAAATGATACACATTTATCATATTTAGGTATGTTTTCTAAATGATTTTAGTCAGACCTATTAATTATATGTGAGAAGCACTCATTTTGAATAGAACATTTAGTTAGGTGTCTCTATGTGTGAGAAGTATATTCCTTCACTCTGGATGTTAGATCTTGAGACACTTAATTCTTCTACTTTTGCACTAAGCTGTAGAGATAAATACCAAACACTGTGTGACCATATTTGTATATTATACTTTGTGTTTTGCATTTAATAAACATTATCACTTTGCTCTTTTTGAAGAATCACCCATGAATATTTTTGTTTGGGGAGTGTGGATGCATGTTAGTCAGGTAACTTAGCACCACTGTATTAGTCTTCCTTACACAAAAAACTGCATATGATCAGTAAAACATTCTTTGAGGATGTGAATATTTAATTGGAAATGGCTGCTTAGTTTTAGTCACAGTGAAAGAAGAGAGAAAAGAATCTTTAGCTCATTAATGGATATTTCCTTAGTTCATATACATCAGAATATTAATATTCATTGTAGGGCTGGGGATTTAGCTCACTGCCTCGCAAATCAACGTCCTGAGTTTGATCCCTGGTAAAATGAATGAATGAATGTAGTAGCTTACCACCCTTACCTCTCATTCAAGCTGCTTTAGTGCTGTTTCTGTAAAAATAGAGGCTGCTCATTCTACTGTAAACTTGCCTTTTGGCATGTGTCTTATAGCTGATTGACTAGCACTAGAAGACGTGTTCTCTGCTCTCTTTAGGGATGGGAAGCATGCCCAATCTGTCCATCCCGCAGTCATTGCCTCCTGTTGCACCTGTAACAGCACCCTTGTCCTCTGCGACTTCAGGGACCAGTCTTCCTCCCTTAATAATGCCTGCTCCCCTAGTGCCTTCTGTTAGTACATCATCATTACCAAATGGAACCGCCAGTCTCATTCAGCCTTTGTCCATTCCGTACTCTTCTTCAAGTAAGTGTCCGATGAGTCAGTATTTCATGGGAAGAAAGAAACTGTTCTGTTGCATTCAGATAGATAGTTTCTTTGCTTGTGAGAATGCTTAGTGTACATCTTTCTTTTTTTCTTTTTTTTAGCATTGCCTCATACATCGTCTTACAGTCTGATGATGGGAGGATTTGGTGGTGCTAATATACAGAAGGCCCAGTCTTTGATTGATTTAGGATCTAGTAGGTATGAATACTTAACATTTACTTTTTATGCTTTCACCCCAGAATCATTATTTAATAAGCTCCGAGCTTATCTATGTTTTTATTTTGTAATGGCCAAATGTAGATACGGTAAATTGTCTACTCATACCTTACATAAAATAAGCTTTTTTATTTTTAGAATTATTAAATATCTATGGTACTTTACTTTTTAAAATATTTTATGTAAGCTTTTTTATCTAAATTTTTTGTTTAGTTAACTTCTAATCCCAACCAATGTACTTTTACTTTGAAGAAGTTTATATTTCTTAAAATGTTTCATAGTCATTGTACAGTGTTAATTTCTTGTGTAAATTCTTGTGATTAGGTATTTTAAATTTTAGAAAGCCCTAAAGTATCTTTTATCATCTCTCATATAAATCACTATTATGACTTTCAAGGAGTGCACAGAGTTGTTTTTGACCCAGATGTACAATGTTCATATCCTAGTTTAAATACTACTGATTTTCTGACTTTATTTCTTCTTGATATCACTGACCCATAGTTTATCCATCTAAAAGATGAGGACAGTAAGATCTTTTAAGGCTGTTGGGATATTTGCAAAGGCTCTAGCACAATACAAAGCCTGGGTTCTTGATATACGGCAGTCTCATGGAGTTCTATGCTTCATGTGGTATTTGCTTTACCAAGAATTGAAATTGCTTAAACTTAAGTTTTAAAAAATTCAAAGGCAAAAGCACTTGTTTTTGTATTGTGTAAGGTGTGATTCTCAATATGTTTGTCATATAAAGTTTAATGTATTTTACTTGGTAATATAAAAAATTTAAATTTTGTTATAGCTCAACTTCCTCAACTGCTTCACTCTCAGGGAACTCGCCCAAGACCGGCACCTCCGAGTGGGCAGTTCCTCAGCCTTCAAGATTAAAATATCGGCAAAAATTTAATACTCTTGACAAAAGTATGAGTGGATACCTCTCAGGTAAGCGGCATAATAGTACTTAACAGAGTGAGAGTTGAAGTCCTTTATACAGGCTTCCTTTGAAAAACTGTTATTTTAATTTATATTTGTAGTTCATCTAAAGTTTTAATATTCCAAAAATTTAGAAAGCATTTGCTAAATAAAAATATTGTAAGTTGTATAAGAATTTAAAGAAAGTCAGTTTGATTGCTTTCTTCAAAGTACTTATAGTCAAGTTGAACACACAGGTGTCACCCAAGGTTTTGGAAAAAAACTTTATCTCAAGAAGATCAAACCCATTCCTTAAGCTTTGCATCGAATGAAGAGAAGTGTGCAGAACTTTGTCTCAGTTTGCTTTGCCTGGGAATCCTGTTCCTCTTTGGGCCTTTGCTCTGGTTGCTTTTACCTCCTTAGGTTAACATTGCTCATCCTTTAATGCTGTAATGCAAATGTTCCTGTAAGACTTGACGTCAGATACCTGTGGAACATTTGAGTCTAAGCTAGACCATATCCAAATGTTAGTACTTTACGATAATGAAAGGAATACACAGAAGGTAATAGGCAAGCGGAGCTCCCACCTTCTCACTTTTCCACACTCTTCACTCAACAAAAAATGTACATGTGCATAGGCAAGGACTTTCTGAACAGAACCCCATTTACACAAGAAATCATTCCCCAGAAACAGCAAGTGGGATTATATCAAATTAAAAAGCTTCTGCCCACCAAAAAAAATATATATATATATCAAAGGGACAACCTATAGAATATGAAAAAACTTTTGTCAGCTACTCCTGTGATAGAGGACTAATATCTAGACTATATAAAGAACTAAAAAAAAGAAAAAAAAATTAGATCCCCAAAAAACAAAAGACCCAAACAAAATATAGGCAATTGAAATTCTCAAAAGAAGTACAAATGACCAGTGGCTACGTGAAAAATGCTTAACAGCCTTGGTCATTAGGGAAATGCAGATCAAAATAACACTGAGATTACTCAAAAACTAATGCTGGCAAGGATGTGGGGAAAAAAGGAGGCCTATAGTGTTAGTGTGATTGTAAACTAATGCAACCACTATGAAAATCGGTATGAAAATTCCTCAGGGCCAGGACTTTAGTTCAGTGGTTCTGCTGCCTGTCTTGCAAGCACAAGGTCCCAAGTTTGAACTGTAGTTCCGAAAAATAATTATTTTTCCTCAAAAAATTAAAAATAGAATTCCATTTAACCAAGCTGTATCTCTCCTGGCTAACTTCCTGAAAGAGTTAAAGTCATCATATTACACTGATACATGCTTACACATATTTACAGCAGCATGTTTCACAATAGCTAAATTGTGGAAAGAACCTAGGTGTCCATTAAGAAATAAGTGGATAAAGAAAATATACACACACACACACAATAGAGCATCATCTGTAAAAAAATGATAAATTTGAGTCATTTGTAGGAAAATGGGTGAATCTTAAAACTATAAAGAGCAAAATAAAGGAGAGATGGTAGATAATGGGGAGGTAGACTTTTTATAGATGGAGAAAGGGAGGAAGAGAGGAGTCAAAAAGATTAAGATATAGGAACATATATAGTATATAAATAGCATATACGAACTCCCCAAAATGAATGTAATTATTTTGTACCGTACACACACACACACACACACACACACACACACCCCAAAAAAATTATAGAACAGAGTAAAATAATTATTTTAAAATAATGATCTTTAAAATGCCAGGTAAGCTGGGCCTGGTGGCATATTCCTATAATATTAGCACTTGGAAGGCGAAGAAGGCAGGAGAATCTCCAGAAGTTTGAGGCCAGCTTAGACTACATAATAAGTTCAAGGCCAGTCTGAACTACCTAACGAGACCCTGTCTCAAAAAAAAAGTGTCAGGATCATAGAATGGGAGAGATTAATAGTGAAGGGGTCAAATAAAATGTAGGAAGGGAGCATTTATGCTTCGTCATGAAAGAAAGTCTTAGGATTTGGACAGAGATTGAAAGTGAGGCCATTTAAGAGTGACAAAGAAGAAATCCTAAGGGCAGTACCTATATAAGCATGCTTGGAAGATGAAATGTAGTTTAAATAGGAGCATAGGGTCTCTCATTCTGTGATGGGGTAAGGAAGAGCAAGACTTTTGGGATCAATTGAACAAAAAATATATATAGTATAATATTTAAAGATACACATTCGTTATAATTTTTTTCTTAAAGCAAGAGAATTATGCCCTCAAAGTTTATGATAGTAGTTATCTTCTGTGAGTAAGGCATGGAGATAGAGTCAAAGAATGCAGATATCTCAGGGCTGAACATGGTATAAATACAGGATGCATATATCTCTGTACTATGATCTAGTTCTTAAGCTGGGTGGTAAGTTCATCAGGGAGAGACTGTTTTATTATTAAATCAAATAACTTAGCTATATACTATGTGTTTTTTAAATGTATATAGTATTACATAATTAAAATTATTCTACATTTTTATCAAATTATGTGAAACAAGGTATAACTATATTTTGTAGGTTGCATTTAAAAATTTTTTTTAAGTTGAGGTATTACCATAAGTGGTGTCTTAGTGTGCTGTGTCATACATAGTTTTATTGACAGTGTTTTTGGTCTCAGTGTTACATAAATAATAGTGTCTCCCAATCAGTGGAATGTTAGATTCTCTGTGATATGATACTGAAAACTACTGGAGATTAATGTAGCCATTATTCCCATTTTTTTGAAAAATACAAACTTCACTCGGCCCTGTGCTATGCATTAAAGTTTCTTCTTCCAGCTTAACAAAAGTAGATGGAAAAGACAAGTTCAAAAGTGTTCACAGCCTAAAATCCATCACTAGGCGAATGGATAAATACATCTTGTCATATTTATAGAAGAGCCTACATTGCAGCATTAAAAATGAACTGGGCTGGGGATTTAGCTCGATGGCACTTCTACCTGCTTCTTGAGCGCAAGGTCCTGAGTTCGATCTATAGTACAAAAAAAAAAAAAAAGAATGAAGTTCATATAACAACATGAATAAATTTTGCAGAAATGATATTGAATGAAAGAATATTATCACAAAAGATCCATACTATTTAATTCATTTATATGAAGCTGAAGAACAGGAAACCTAGTTAATGGTGATAGAAATCAGAATAATATACTGTTGGTAATGGGCTGTATGCAAACCTTCTGGGGTGCAAGAAACATTTTATCTCTGTGAGTGTTGGATGCAGCTGTGCTTTCCTATGTTACTTTATTGTATATGCCACATTGTAGGAAAGTTAAATATTGTGTTTTCAGAGAATGTTATTCTGAGACGTACAAAGGTAAAGCTCTATATTTATAAGTAAAGGCAAAGTTTTCTTTGAAAAAGAATAGTTATTGCTGATGTCCTGAAACTGAGCATGCACCCCAAGTACCAGACAGGACTGACCTGAACTTACATTTTATGCTTTGTTGAATCTAGCAATTGGTGGTCTAACTTTCTTTGTTATTCTTAGCTTCCAGTAAACCCACAGTCTTTGATTTATTTAGATTAATTCATTGACTTAGCTATTCCTGAGTCACAAATCTTCTGGGCACTTTCACAAGAACATAGAAGGGAGGAAAACATAGTCCCTACCCAAGTCCATAGAATAGCTCACATAGCACAGTACTTGATCAGTGACTTAGAAGTGCGATGATCAGTGTAGATGAGGATACAGGACGGGTTTTCACAGAAAATACGTTGCATGAGGTGTATCTTAGAGGATAAACAGATTACCAGGTAGAAAAGGCGGTGGCATTCTAGGCAGAGGAGATAAGATATTCTAAGGATTGACAGCCCAAGAGTATACATGTTCAGATGAGCTTTTCTTAGTAAAGTACTCTGCTGGCTTTTTTGTGGCCCTCTGTATAATTCAGAATCTGTATTCATACAGTCCTCTAGCAGTATTTTAATCATTTATATTCCCTCTTCTGTCTTCTCTATTGCCTAATGCTGTGATGTCTTAGTTACTTCCTCATTGCTGGGACAAAATATCTGACGCCTCACAATTTGTGAAGGTTTCAGTCCCTAGTTGGCTGCTCCAAGGCAGGGCAGCATGGCAGAGGAGAAACAGTCCATGGCAGGGCACACAGAAAATAATAGCAGCAGCAAGCCTCCCTTTCCCTTTTTATCCCATTCAGGCTACAAGCCTTTTGGTTGATGCCACTCACACCCAACTTGAGGTTTTCAGCAAATCTATTCAGCCTTACTCAGATCTATGCTAAACCAGTTGGTGGACTGGCTGTCACACCCTAATCCAGTATCATACACCCATAATCCAGCCACCTTGCAAAAGCCCCACCTATAAGCACATGAGGCTTTGGGGGACAGCTAGATATAAGCTACAAGCTATAACATAAGGGTTTTGGTTCTGAGTACTGGGGGTTGACTCTTGTGGGTGATCTACCACTGAGCTATATCCCAGCCCTTTTTATTTGAGACAGTGTCTCCTAAATTACCCAGATTAGCCTCAAACTCACAATCTTCCTATTTCAACCTCCTGAGTAGCTGGGATTCTGAGTGTGTGCCACCATACCTGGCCTATTTCTCTTTATTAAAAGAATCTTTTTAACTCAAAGACTTTCTCAAGGGCTGGGGATTTAGCTCAGCAGTTCGCTGGCCTGCCTTGCAAGCGCAAGGAACTGAGTTCAATCCCCAGTACCCAAAAAAAAAAAAAAAAAACTTTCTCAAATTATACTTCCTTTGTGAAATACAAAATTAGTAGAGTGAAACTATAAAGCTATTACCAGTGTTTTTTCTTGTGAGCTTTCAAGTAAAGAACAAATAAAGAGTGATATTTTAAAATACTTAACTGCATTGTATAAACATGGTAGCTTTGGTTAGCACGTCCTCTGTGTTCAAAACTCAGTGGAACAATGGAGTTAGCTGCATTTGTGGTGGCTGTATGATAGGAACTGCTGCTGAGGAAGGGTTGTACAAACTGTGTTGTGTGCAGAGTTGTGTTGGATAGGCCTCGATGGGAGCCGAACTCTGAGCGGAGGCCGATTCTTCTGGTGCTTCCAAGTAGGTCACCAGAGGTGGAAGGTGGGGCACCCGCTGCACTGATGAGGATACTGTCTCTCAAGGTGGCACGATTTCACTCATGGCCCAGCAAGCCAGGGGTGGATACTCCTCTGAAGCAGACAGAGATTTTCTGTTCTGAAATATATTCTTGGGCTTTCTTTTTTCTGTTTCCCTGGTACAACATTCTAGATCAGGAAATCTTTATAAAAATATAACTTTGATTATGGAGAGAGAGAAAAGAAGTTGAACAGTTTACTACATGTAGTAGTTGTTAGTTATTGTCAGATGCTATCACCTAAGTCCCCATTGTAGCTTAGAGGAAAACTTTTTATTCTAACTTCTTTTATTATTTTAACAATACTTATAAGCATTCATTTACCAGGTGTTTGGTATGCATTAGTGAATAAAGCAGTCAAGCTTTTCATTTCCTTAGAACTTGCCCGTGTGTCAGGGGAAATAGACAATGAGGAGGCAAAAAAGGGGCCGGGGATTTAGCTCAGTGGTGCTGCCGCCTGCACCTGCCTCGTCTGTCTCACGAACACAGGGTCCCCAGATTGATCCCCGGTGCCAAAACAAAAGAGGCAGTCAAGCAAATAAAAGTCTTATTGTAAATAGTAACAGAAGTTACGAAAGGAACGGGGAAGATACTGGATGGTAGGGTGGTCGCAGACTTTCCCGAGAAAGTAATATTAAATTGAGACTTGTGGGGTTAGGAGATCCAGGTCCACAATGACAGAAGTGTAGACCTGATGGCGGATGTAGGTGTGTAGGGAAGAGAGGGATCAGGGGTGACTTTTGGAGGTCTGGCTTGAGCAGTGGATAGTAATGCCATTCGTAGAGAAGGGAAGACCGAAAGAGAATGATTTGGAGTAAAAACCTGGAAAAGAGATGTAGGTGCAGATAGAGAACATTTTATATATTTGATTTGAGTTTCCTGTGAAGCATCTAAGAAGAGTATTCGGTCGAGTATAAAAACGTAAATTTAAAGGAGAAGTTTGGGCTGTGGATGTATGTTTAGTGATCATCAAGCTCTATCTCGGCTTATTTAAAATCATAGAAATGGGTCATGAATACACAGAAAGAAAAGAGTACGCAGGACAAGTCCTTGGAGGAACAACCGCGTTTACCAGTCATTTAGGAAGAGTAGAGGCAGATGCACTGGGAATTGTGCTGAGCGTAAGAAGGCTGAGAGTCCCTGCCTGGTGGCTCACACCTTCACATCATCCACTGTGTGTGCTGCCATTTTGATGAAAGCGTGGTAGAGCACTTGTCTCCACTGCTGGATTTCCAACTCCTCGGAATAGGACTTTGTTTATTACTCTTGAATGCTCAGTATCTGGCGTGTGGTAAATACATTTTGATATGAAAAGGAATATTTAGGTTTGTGTGACCTTAAAGGGGCTAAAGAATTTTTTCCTTATGGTTTTCTCACTTCAAACAGGTTTTCAAGCCAGAAATGCCCTTCTTCAGTCAAATCTTTCGCAAACTCAGCTAGCTACTATTTGGTGAGTTTGTGTTAGGATTCTTAACTGTATGGCCTCTGTTATAAGAAAGATAGTATTCTTGGAAGAAAAAACAACAAAGGAAGAAAAATAATTGTTTCTGTAAAAGTTTGTGATTCAAAGATGTTCCATAAAAACAGTGATTTAAAAGTTAATATTAACATCGAAAGCAAAATTTGTAAAGCACTGTTCTTGAGAATTTAGCATTTAAGCATTTAACAAGTAAAGCTGTAATTTTTATATACTACTATGGAGAATCAGAATATCTCAATTTTAATCTATAGATAAATAGGATTTGATAGGTAAATTGAACATAAAAGAAGACGAGCCACCTTCGCAGAATGGATGTCTCATTCTGTTTCAAATTTCTTCCCTCTTTTTTTGTAATGAAAATTAAGGGTAAAAATTAACTTACTTTTCTGTATATATGTACATGGCTAACCCAGCAGTCTTACCATCTATATTGTTTTAAAAATGAAAAATTATATTCCTCAGACAGTATTTTACTCCAGGTGGGCTTTCCAAGTTGTGAATCTTCACATTTCCTTTAGGACCCTGGCCGACGTGGACGGGGACGGACAGCTGAAAGCTGAAGAGTTTATCCTTGCGATGCACCTCACTGACATGGCCAAAGCCGGGCAGCCGCTGCCGCTGACTCTGCCTCCAGAGCTCGTCCCGCCCTCCTTCAGGTGAGTGGCTGCCCTGCCCAGGAAGAGCCCTCGTCTCCGTCACGTGGCAGGTGTGATTTTTCTTTGGGACTTACTAGGGCCTGGGCTGTAGCTTGGAGGAGAGTTACATGTTTTCTTTGACATTTAATTTTAGTACTCAGTGAGTTAGTTGCATTAGAAGGAAGTATGTGTTAGAAGCAGGTATGTTTTCAGCATATTATAGATAAAAAGTTGCCCAAGAATAGCAATTAACTGCACCATAATTTGAATTTAGCTCTCTCTGGCTTTAATCATAGGTGGCATGTACTGTCTAGTCTGAAAATTCCCGGACCGCATGATACTAAATTTGTGGTTTGTTTTTCTTAGAGGTGGAAAGCAAACTGATTCAGTTAATGGAACTCAGCCTTCATATCAGAAGACACAAGAAGAGGAACCTCAGAAGAAATTACCAGGTCTGATTAAGTATCTAAGTTGTTTCTTTATAGTGAGTTCCTTTAAATTTTGCTTCATAATAGAAGTGAATACTTGGAATTTTTTCATTATTAAGAATCTGAATTTTATGTGAGAAAACATTAATGGATGGGATGGGTTTTGATGTCAATAAAATTAACAAGTATATGGAAGAAGAAAAGATAGTATGTGTATTGTTAGAAAAAGCTTTGTGAATTGTTAGCTTTAAAAAAGTTAAAAGTATTGATTGAGAGAGAATGTACGTGGTTTTTAAAATTAAATAAATTATTAAGTATTTAAAGTAATATTTTATATTGAAAATATTTTAAAGCTAATGGCATATCTCAAACGAAATAGGCCCACAGTTTTGGTTGCCCTTGAAGAAAAATCTGAGAAAAAAGTTTAACCACCATTTTTATTGGCAGGGATAGTAAAATTACCCCTCCGATGGATTCAGACATAGAAATTTGTTTCTTTTTTAAATGAGTATTTTTAGAAGGAAGTAAATATTTTCCTGTTTGCGTTTGAGTTAAAATGACCCCCAGAGGAAGTGACCAAGGAGGGAGCGCGCTCAGACGCAGCTGCTTCGCGATTGCGATTGCGGGTCTTGTACCTCTTGCTGCGGGGAGGCTCACAGCGCACCCTGTTCAGTTACCTTTGAGGACAAGCGGAAAGCCAACTATGAGCGAGGGAACGTGGAACTGGAGAAGCGGCGCCGAGCCCTGATGGAGCAGCAGCAGCGGGAGGCAGAACGCAAAGCCCAGAAAGAAAAGGAAGAGTGGGAGCGAAAGCAGAGGGAACTGCAGGAGCAAGAGTGGAAGAAACAGCTTGAACTGGAAAAGCGCTTGGAGAAACAGAGGGAGTTGGAGAGGCAGCGGGAGGAAGAAAGAAGAAAAGAGATAGAAAGACGAGAGGTGATTCTTCCTTCATTCCCTAAGAACATCATTTCATAAGTGACCACATTGTGAGCAAAGCATTTACTGTTTAAGTGTCACACCTTTCCCGCAGCATCATTTCCTTCACTCTTCTGAATGAGCCTTCTCTTGAGGGGTGAGAGAGGTTTTCCGGGCCGGGGGGTGGTGGAGAGCACCCCTGTCGCGCGAGTGAGGAGGGCGAAGTGCACAGCTGAGCTCATGGAGGGGCTAGGAGTAGCTGGCCAGTGGAGAAGTTTAAGATCCAGATGAAGAGTCTAAGGAATTAGGAGGGCAGAAAGATGAGAGTGGAAAGCCAGAGGTCTAGAGAGGAACCAAGAGGGGGACCTGTGCAAGCCCTCAGGATGTAGTGTTTCGGGGGCCCCTAAAGAGGACGGACGGACAGAGCCAGGCGTGGTGGTGCACGCCTGTAATCCCATCACTTGGAAGGCTGAGGCAGGAGGGTCTCTGGGCTACATAGTGAGTTCAAGGCCAGTCTGACCTACATAGTGAGACCCTGTCTCAAAAAACAAAACAAAAGTAAAATAAAATAAAATAAAAATGAATAAAGAGGACAGACTGTGTTTTAAAGGGCCAGGGCTGGACCTCAGTAAGTCACAGTGCACGGAGAAAATGTAAATAGAAATGTTTTTCTCCCCTGGTACCAGAATAGAGATGTGACTGTTAACTCTTAACATTTATATTTATGATCGCTTCTTGGCCTTTTGGCTAAGATCAAGTGTAATATCTGCTCTTATCAGTTTAATATACTTATGAAATCACCCTTTTGCCTAGTAAGAGAAAAACGACTGTAACAGGAGGATAGTCCTGTGAAGCGGTCAGTGACGGGTAAAGCCACATGCGTGGAGTCTTTAGACCCACGATGGGACTAACTTTGCCCATCTACCCCTTGGCACCCTGGCCCCCAAGTGCCAAGCACCGTCATCCCTTTATGTTTTGAGTGTTGTTTAACTTAAAGTTAGCTGTGATTCATTATTTCCAGGCAGCAAAACAGGAACTTGAACGACAACGTCGTTTGGAATGGGAGAGAATTCGTCGACAGGAACTTCTCAATCAGAAGAATAGAGAACAAGAAGAAATTGTCAGGTTAAACTCTAAAAAGAAGAGTCTTCACCTTGAGCTGGAAGCACTGGTATGGCCAGAGTTTACGTGGAATTTATCTGAATAATGCTGGGGTTACAGAATGCTGTTATTTTTTAAATCTATCTCATAAATAATCTATTAATGTAATTAACTGCCTCCGCTTCCCGAGTGATGGGATTATAGGTGTATGCCACCTCATCTGTCTTTAAATATGTGCTTTTCTTTGAGTTTTTGAGACAAGATCTCACTTTGTAGTTTAGGCTGGCCCTGAACTTAACTATGTAGCCCAGGCTGACCTCAAATTCATGGCGATCCTCCTGCCTCAGCTTTCTGAGTGCTGTGATTACAAGTGTGTACCACCACATCTGGCTCTAGATATGCTTTTTAGCAGACTGGACAGTGTAGTTTGCTGAGAAGGCTAGAGACTAAACTGTCGTGTGCTGTATTTTGTTCCTGTGCCTACATATAAAATGAAGGGTGTGCTGGCTTAGTAATTTTTGATTTTCATAGCAGTCTCTGGAAGATGGTCTGCAGAGGACATTCACAGCAGGTGGTTCTGCATCTAACTGCTTTATTTTTATTGAGATTTAGTCTAAATTTTACTTGAATCAAAGGATTCCACCATTAAAAAAAGAAAAGGGATTTAAAACTGCTTGCCTAAATAATTTCTTACAATTCCTTTCAATTCTGCAGGACTATAGGTTTTAGCTCCTATTGGCCACTGTGTAACGAGTACCTCAGAATGGAACTTTGAGTTAGATTTAGGGCCAGGATGTAGCTCAGTGGTGCCATGCCTACCTGGCAAGTGCAAGGTCCTAGGTTCAATTGCCAGTACTGGGGAAAAAAAACAGATTTTTTTTTTTTTTTTTTTTTTTTTTCCTTGCGAGACAAGGAGTTTCTCCAAACTTCTTAGACTTGCAGCAGCAACATCAACTCTCACTTCTCTTCAGCTCAGATGGGCAGACGGGATGTGCAGGTGCTGGCACCAGGTCAAGCCCAGTTTCGTGTCCTTAGGCCAGGGAGGGAGAGGTCTAGACAGGGGCCGAACAAGCCTGGCCTGCCTGCCGTCTCCCCCACGGTTCCCTGTGAGCCCAGCATAACATTCACAGTGAGATGATCACTTGAGGCAAGTGGGCCCTCCATCTTCTTGCAGCTGGCTGTGCATAAATTATTTTTCTATTTTACTAAAACGTCCTTCAAGCAAACAAACCTGAGCATATGAGCCTAAGTGGCCAGTAACAATGGTACTTACCACTTTTCACTCATCAGATTTTGTTTGAAATGCAAGATGAGACGATTAAGAGGTCTGAAACTATTCTTCTGCAGTTTTAGAATTCCATAAGCCTGACCTGACCTAATAATAGTATTGTAGGATTTTGCAAAAATGTATGTCTAGTTATATAGAAGAACGAAATTTAAATTTTTGTTCTGTCTTGGATTTTGAGACAGGGTCTCACTTTGTAGTGCAAACTGGCCTTGAACTCACTGTGTAGACCATGCTGGCCTTGAACTCATGGCCATTCTCCTGCTTCATCCTTTTGAGTGCTGGGGTTATAGTCCTGTGACATCACACTCATCTTAAATTTAGATCTTATTTAGTTGTAGTACAATATTTGGTCAACTTTAATTACATCATAAAATTATTCTTGAATTATCTCAGCATCTCTAGTCAGAAATGTCTTCCAATAGTAGGGATACATGCTATAATTATACTATATAATTACTATGTATATACATATATATGTACACACACATACTATATATAATTATTGACTGTATTTTTCCCTAAAAATATAATTGGAGCCAGGTGTGGTGGCACACACCTGTAATCCTAGCCCTCAGGAGGCTGAGGCAGGAGTATTGCTGTGAGTTCAAGACCAGCCTGGGCTACATAATGAGTTCCAGGTCAGTCTCAACTACATAGTGAGACCCTGTCTCAAAAAATTGGGGGGGGTATACACATATTTATATATAATTGGAGGAGTCCTTAACATTGATGTTTTTTCTTTAAGAACTGGGGCAACATGCTGAGCCCAATAACCTAAGTTAATGGGCAGTCTGGAAGGGTCAGGAGCCTGAACTCGTCCATGTTGAAGGTGACAATGTGAGCTCTCGGATAGAAACAGCATATTCCTTTCAGTGTGTGTTTTTCAAATATGAAACATACTGGTCAGTACAAATTTCCTATCAGTGGTTATTAATCAGGGATCTCATTCTCATCACCTTACTGTGTCAGTTTTCTAGGGCTACCATAACTAAATACCTAGCTTAAACAACAGAAATGTCTTTTCCACTGTCTCAGAGACTCGGAGTCTGAGATTAAGGCCCCTCTCTCTGCAGCTTGCTAGTGGCTGCCTCATTCCTGTGTTCTCACATGGCCTTTTCTCTGTACACGTGCATCTCTGGTGTCTTTTGTGTCTGGACACCTGTTCTTACTTGGAATCCAGTCATTTTGGATTAGGATTCACCTGTGCAACCTCTTTAAATCTCCTTTCTTCAAATTTGGTTCCATTCTGAGGTACCCAGGGTTAGGTCTTCAACATAAATTTTTTGGAAGGGGAACACAATTCAACCCATGGCATCCCACCTCACCCTTCCTCTTAGGCCCCAACAAGAACGTCTGTGCTCTGTTTTTAGCCCTTGCTGAAAAGTAGGGGAAAATAGGTGCTCCTTGCTTGAAGAAAAGGAAGTTATTGCCAAGAAGGTCCACCTGGATGCTGTTTAATTATAGGAAATTAGGAAGTAACGTTGAAGGTGGCAGTAGAAGTTCAGAAAAAGTAACACTAAATGTCACATGCAAACATTTTTTTCAGCATTATTTTTTGAGATTGTCTCTTATGTGATACGTAAATGCCCAAATGCAGAATTTAGGGGGGAAAAAACCTCAGTGTTTTATATTTACACTTTCCCATCGTAAAATATGGGCTCTTATACTCTGAGCATGATGTGTTTCCTGCTCATAACTCACTTGAGTTAACAGGTGTAACTCAAAAACAAATTTGACTTGGTTTTAGACACTTCAGGCTGAGTGTGAATAATAAGTAAAATTTTAAATTTAATTAAATAAAAATATTTTTCTCCTCTTAGGAGTGTTTTCTGTTAGCACTTTATGTTACCATACATTTATATGACCTTCCCACAGAATGGCAAACATCAGCAGATCTCAGGCAGACTACAAGATGTACGACTTAGAAAGCAAACACAGAAGACCGAGCTGGAAGTTCTAGATAAGCAGTGTGACCTGGAAATTATGGAAATCAAGCAACTGCAGCAAGAACTTCAGGTAAGTCCTTTGCCGCTAGTTGTCCTTACACATGTGCAGCTATTCCAGCTCTTCCTGCCGGGAGTTGTACTTCGAGGACCATGCAGTCCTCTGGTTCTGAAGATCTGTGATCCAAATGCACACAACCTTGTGTATAATATCAGGAAGTCCACAGACCTCCCAAAGCTCTGCTAGATAGCGTATTAGGTTCTGGTGGGAATTTTTCCATAGATGGACATTTATCATTCTGAGTTTTAACTCTAAAAATATATGTATATATTTATTTTGGTCCATTCTTGTGATTCTCACAGACTGTCTTTGTATAATTTATAAATAGCAGAATGTATTGTGTGGTTTTGGAGGTTAGAAATTTGAAGGCCAAGGCACCAGCAGATTCAGTGTTGGGAGAGGGCTCACTTTCTGCTGCAGAGATGGATGCTTCTTCCCGCACCTTCTCCTGGGCACTTCCCGTCAGCCTCTTGTGAGGACACTGGCCCCATTCTTCCCCATGGGAAGAGCCCCCCATGATTTAATCACCCCCTAAAGCCCTGCCTCTTATCACTTGTATTGGGGATTAAATATCATGATTTTAGGGCAGCAGCATTTAGAACATAGCATACAGCAGAATAAAGTTACTGTGATTTTTAGGAAATTTTGACCTAAAGTCGTTTTCAGAACTGTGTGAGAAGTTGAACATGTCCCCTGGAGGCGTGGTCGCTCTGTTCCTGTGCGTTAGAATCTGGCTCAGTTATGGTTTGCAGAACAGGGACGCTAGAAGCATTTGACATCTCCAGACTCCTCTCACCCAGTCTCTCTTACTATGCAGACAGACCGTCTTCCTTTTGTCACAGCAGACAGACAGAAACCTAAAATATTTCCTGCCTTCCCTAGTTCTCCCTGAGATTTTATTCTCGTTGCTATACAGACAGGCATTCTGGAGTCTTCTGGCCACTTACTGCACACACCCTGTAGTGCAGTTGCCAACGACCTCTCTATCTTTGCCTGCGTCATCCATTAGAACACTGAAAATTATGAACCTCCACATGTAGCCTACTCATGAAAGCTTTTTTTCACTGCCTTTTAATTTCAGCCAGTTATTTATAAATGGATGTTTAAACATTTGCTTTTTAAATCCTGCATACTTCCCTTCCAGGTTATTCATAAGTTAGGAGCATTTTACAATTACCAGTTATTCCTCTACTAAACTTCAGAAATGATTAGCACTGCCAGGTGTGGTGGTACACACCTGTAATCCCGGCACTCAGGAGGCAGGGGCAGGAGCATTGCTGCAAGTTTAAGGCCAGCCTGGGCTACATAATGAGTTCAGGCTGAACTGCAAAGTGAGACCCTGTCTCAAAAAAAAAAAGATGAACATTCCCAAGAGGACTGTAATTTATATGTCTCGCTGCTACGCAGCTTGAACCATCAGTGGTACATGCATGACTGTCCCATTGAGTGGCTTTTCATTAATTTTAGTAGTAAAAAGACTGATAAAAGTGATTAGATCCATTTGTACCACCAGTGGTACCAGCTGCCCAGTGGGACAGGCACGCATGCACCGCCAATGGTACAAACCAGTGGGAACATGTTAAATCATGTTTTTAAATTTTCTGAAAAATTCTTGAACATTACAGTTTTAACCAGATGCTATTTTTCTTTTTATAAGGAATATCAAAATAAGCTTATTTATTTGGTACCTGAGAAGCAGTTACTGAATGAAAGAATTAAAAACATGCAGCTGAATAACACACCTGGTAAGCCTAAGTTTTGTTTTCTCTTTTATTTTTCTGAATAACTGTATCGATCGTATTCTGTTAGTTTTGAAAAACAGTGTTATTCTGTTATAAATAACTTGGGGTCTGTAAGTTAAAAATTGCAAAATAGTGTGAAAAATATCACAGATGTCAGAACATAAGTAATAATTATGGTATGTTTTCCTCTATCTTGATATATTAATTTATATTAAAATGTCAATCAAAATATTAGACTATAATTAAACAAGATCTACACCTGGCTCTCAAACAACATACATTTTCCAAAATGCTGCACCCTTTATAAAGAACTGTTCAGGAGAAGACTTCTCTGTGGAGCCAAGCATACAGCTCCAAGGTGATAGCGTACAGTGGTGCTAGGGCCAAGCGTGTGCTGTGCCCCTGCTAGACCTTCATATCATCTACACTGCCTCCTATGAAGACTCTCACCATCCTGGCCCTCTGGCACCTGTGGGACAAAATATTCCAGTGTGATTTATGGAATATGACATTTTTCCTGGCCCAGATTCCAAACATGTAACTTAAAAAGTAAAATAAAGTAAGACTATGTCGGATAGCATGCCAGTAACAGGATAGCCACAAAAAAGGTTCAAAGACATATCCTAAATGTCACCCTTGAGTACCTACCAGTATTTCCATGCCAAGGCCCTTTTTAATATACTTTGGCTGCTTAGTGGGTCCAATAAACATGCTTCTTCTTTGTCTAAGTATGAAACAAATTGAAAAATAAGACAAAGAAACAAGACAGGTGACAAATCAAAATACCATCTCAGTATTGGCAAAAATTAATGGGACAGGACCGGGGATTTAGCTCATTAGTTCCATCTCTTGCCTCGCAAGCGCAAGGTCCTGAGTTCAATCCCCGGTACAAAAAAATTAATGGGACAGCATGGCTTATCTCCATGCTGCACCTGAAAAACATGAGTGCAGATTTCCTGAGGGTGGCACAGTCTTCAGAGACCAAGGACGAGGAAGAGTCTAGGTAGCACATGCGCAGGTCCTTGAAGCCGGGAGAGTTGTGCTAGTGAAGGACAATACACATGGAAGGAACAGCAAAATAAAGTTTACTCTTGTGAACTATTCCTAGCATGTCTACTGCTTTCCACTAAAAGGGTCTGTCCATGTCTCTTCTCAGACAGTTTTCCTTGCTTCTGCTTCTTTCTGGTCCAAGTGAATCAGCTTCCTAACTCATCCCTCCACAAGCATCCCAGACAGGATGAGTCTGTGCAGGGGCAGAAATACACCATCATCACTGTTGGTATTTCAGTTGTGAATCAAATGTTGACTGTGTCTAACTGGGAATTTGGTAGAAGTATTCTATCTGTTGAACTATTATTACTATTATTACTGGCCTATGTATATAACAGTCCAGTTCAAAAGAGGCAACTTTTGTTTTTTTGTTTGACTCATACTGCATATGCCTTAGATTTTCCTCTCTCTAAAAGTACCATTTAACACTAACACTCACGTGCCAGGCACCATGCTAGGCAGGCATGTGTTGTTTTCTTTAATCTTTACAACAGATACAGTTATTATACGGTTCAGTATAGTCATTCCCATTGTGCAGCTCAGGAGAACTGAGATTCCGAGAGATCAAGTTGTTCCTCAAGATAGTACAGTGGTGGTGCTCAAATCCATGCCTACCACCAAGACCTCCATTCTAACTTGAATCAGATTTGCTGTTAAAATGTATATGCTCACTTTATGAATAGCAAAGAATTACACAGCTGTAAAACTTTAATGATAGATTGCTGAATGGAGATGTTTTATGTTCCTGAGTGAATTAATAATACTATGCATGCAATAACTGTACCAGCTCTCTAATTCATCCAGTATATTCAGTTCTATTCAGGTTTCTTTACATGAAACTTGGAAAGATAATTCATAAATTCATCTGGAAGGGGAAATGTGTAAAACTGAGCAAGACTTGAAAAAGAGAACACTGGGGTGCAGAGACTTGCCTTACCAGAAATCAGAACAAAGATATGGAAGTTATAGTACCTAAAATAATGTGCTGTTGGGCTGGGGATTTAGCTCAGTGGTTCTGCCACCTGCCTCACAAGCACAAGGTCCCAAATTCTATCCCCAGTACCAAAAAGAAAAAGAAAAAAAAACAGAAAAGTAAAATAATGTGCTATTGCTCCTAAACAGAAAAATAGAATAATGAAACTGAGTGAACATCTATCAAAGATAAATTGTTTGATGTTTGTATTTCAGATTCAGGGATCAGTTTACTTCATAAGAAATCAGTAGAAAAGGAAGAATTATGCCAAAGACTTAAAGAACAATTAGATGCTCTTGAAAAAGAAACTGCATCTAAGCTCTCAGAAATGGATTCATTTAACAGTCAACTGAAGGTATTGATTTTCTATTATATTCATTTCTAGGTAGCTGCTTTCTTACCACCCTTATTTTTATTTAATGGAAGGAATAACAAAGCTATTATTGTTATATTACATTTTCATAATTTCAACTATACCTGTTTTCGAGATTTTTAATGTTTTCTAAAATATTATAAAAATTCTTTCACATTACTGAACATATCATTTGCCACAGTTTCCAGTTTTTGACAACTAGGTGCTGTTTATGGGCATTTCAAAAACAGTTTTTCTTGTCAATATTGTAGAACTGATGTCAGCTAACACGATTATAGGTAACAGTGTAAAATGGAAAACATGGCAATTTAAAAATAGTTCTGGTGGTAGAGGCTCTTTTAATACTGAAATTCTTTTTTGTTCCTTTGTTACAATATAATTTAACTTTTATGAAATAATGCAGTAATCAGTGAAATCAAAAGCAGAATCTGGTTCCATAAACTTTGCAAGAAAAATCAAGTTTGTGATTCATTGTTTCCTCAGTAGTAGAGCAGATGTCCAAAGCATACTGTGTGCTTATCTTTCTTAACAGTGTGTTGTATACTGAAGCCGTGTCTATGTAAGGAGATGATGGAAGGTAAAAATTAGAGTAACTATGCATAATTCAACTTTGGGAATAGTCCCTTTCCTTTGCCAACTGGGCATAATTTTTAGTGCGTAAGTTGTTACATAGCATTTCTATAAGAAAGCTATTTTTTTGTCTTGCTAATTTAGAATAACCCTAACTCCAGCTATGAGTAAGTACCTTGATAAAGAAAAGACAACATGGTGGCTTCAGTTAAGGAGAGAAAATGGAGGTGAAAATGTTAATAATACCCCAATATAAAATGTGTATCCTATAGAAAAAAAAATTAAAGAAAACAAAATAACTAGTCAGTGATAGTCAAGCCAGCCAAGTTATCCTCCCTACATTTTTTTTTAAATCTGTACATAGTTTAACTGGCTTTTTATCTGCCTTATCTTACAGTGTGGGAATATGGATGACTCTGTTCTTCAGTGCCTTTTGTCTCTGCTAAGCTGTCTCAACAACCTCTTCCTCTTACTTAAGGTTATTTTCTAATATCTATCTCCTTTGTTTGAATTACTTTACTATTTTCTTTTCTTTTCTTTTTAAACAGCTATTCTTTGCCTTTACCTGAATATCTTTGTTTGAAATAACATACACAATAACGACTTTTTTTCTTTCTGCTTGCTTGAATATCTCTCTGCTGTCTGACTGCCTGCTTGAGTCTAATGCAGAAATTGGGAAAGTGGCCCCTCACTAAACTGTCTCATGAGGAGCCTGGCAGTTTCACTACCAAGCATGTCCAACCTGTGGCCTACCTTTTTTTTTTCTTTTTTTTCTTTTTTTTGCCTTTGTTTTTTCAAATGTTATAATAAGTGTTTTTACGAAGAAAGCTTTGTTGCTTATGTGCATTAACTATATCATATATTTTATATGTGATTCCAGATAATTTCAATTCATGCAAAACAGTGAGGGCCAAAAAAAGGCAGGCCACAGGGTAGACATGTCCATGTCCTGTTACTAGATTAGCTAATGGGATGGCCAGTAATTAAAATAGAAGGAAAGCTGAGGGTGTGAAATTGAATCACTTAACCGTATGACTGAAAGGCTTGGCTTTCTGAAATCTGTGGCAGGGCTATGTCCTGTGTGCATCAGGTTACATCCTGCTTCCACCACAAAGAAAACTGTAAAGAGCCAGTAGTGCAGAAACAGATTTAGTTAGGTCCGTTAGCAGGCCTTGTATTTAGATGTGCTTGCACTTCAGGTAAAAATATTTCATTTACAGCATTTCATATAATCACTTTGCCATGTGTAATACCCAGAGGTTTTGTTTGGTTTTTTGGTTCCTCGGATCAAATTCAGGTCCTTGAGTTTGCGAGGCAGGTGGCAGCACCACTGAGCTAAATCCCTGCCCCCGCCAGAGTATTTAAATGCTCAATAAATAACACAGTTTAAGAAAGGTGCTTTATATTTACCACTTGCTTACCCGTACATACCTTGACCACACTTCTACTTAGGACTGAAATGGATGGCAGTAGGCAGTTCGCAGTGAACACTTAAGTATGGCTCCTTCGTTACCTGAGCAAAGGTGGGACCGATTGGAAGGATGGCAGCTGCGTGGGTCACAGTCAGCCTGTGTGGTTATAGCATGGCTGGCCGGATTATCTGGTTTTAGAACTTTGGCTACAGATCGAACAGGAATTTAAACCTACATTTCTTCTGTAAAATGAGCTTCAGTGGTAGTTTGTGGTCTGTATTCTCTCATGCAGTCTGTTTTTCTCAGTTAGCATTTGATTCTCCACAGGCCAGAAGATTATTCTTGTGTCTTGTTTTACTTACTTTCTTCTGCTTACTGCCTTCTCCTCTTTCACTGTTTATTGATTCATCAGAGTTGATTAAAAACCTAAAGGGTTATGAAATCTATACTGTCAAGAGTGGTCGGGCATCTTGACTATATTGTCACAGGAGAAAAGACAAGGGGGCTTTAGAGTCATAAAAGCAACACAGAATGATCAGTTAATGTAGTATTGAAAACCACCCACTAACTTGTCAACAGGACACCTTTGAAGATGCTGAAAGTCACATTTCAGTCAGGTGATGCAGAAGCTGCGTTGCAGTGGATCAGGAGTTGGGCAAGGGTTTAGTGAGAATGAGCAGCCTGAGGAGAGTGAAAAGAGAACAGGCACTGAAGGAAAGAGTTTGGATAGAGGGCTTAAGATAGACTTGAAGGGGACAATAAAGAGAGATGAAAGGAAGGAGAGGAAAAGAGAAACTGAGGCAGAATATAGAAATTGGTGGTAATTGATCAGGCACAGGCCCTGGGGAAAGTAGAGCATAGATTCTAAGATTACGTTGTAAAGAATACATCCAGTGTAACAGGAAAAGAGACAGGTGTGAATGCTGCTCATTTTGTTGTTGAAAAGTAAGAAGTTGACTGCTTTAAGACTTAAAATCGGAAATAAATTGGACCGTAAAGGAATGGGGGTTAGAATAACTCAGGTGCAAGAAGTTTTACTGATTTTGAAATGGTATATGGGGGAGTTCAGTCTGGTGGCTTAATAAGGCAAAGTTTTTAAGCTAGTAGTGAGCAGAATGGATGAAAGATTAGGAAATTTCAGGAGAGAGAAGTAGGAATGAAACTTACCTTGGTGAGGGTGGGATTGCAAGCTTGGAGAAATGCAGTAAGTGTGTTGAGCAACGTTAGATGCCTCCTTGAAGTTGGAGGTTGTAAACTTAAACTGGAAACAGCCTGCCTAATTATATGATCATTTTCACCAGTGTTCGTCCACTTACTTGTGAGCAGAGAAGGCTGATGAAAGTTTCTTGGGTTCATATAGGCATGGGTTTCAATAAGACATGGGCCAAAAGGGGCCACAATGAATTTAAAGGTAAGAATTATCATCAAAGTAGGTTCTGCAGTATGGAGTAGATGTGAGGGATGAAGAGAGAAAGGGGTGCTCACGATGGAGAAAGAAAATGACGAGAGTGGAGTGGAGGTAGCAGCAAGGGCAAAAAGGGGTTGAAACTCTTGCGTTCATTTGCTGACAGTGAAGTGCAGTGAAAGAATGCTGGCTTAGGAATCTGGAAACGTGAGACTGGTACAGATCGTGTCATTTGCTAACTTTTGTGACTGTCGTTTGGCCTCCAAACTTTGTTTTCTTCATTTGTAGAACAATGCCAATATCCACCTTGTCTTCTTTGAAGGATCTTATGATGAATGAATGAAATAGCCTAAGTATACAAAAGGGCTTTGTGAACTTTTATGTGCTATACAGATACAGTGTATTTTTTATTCTATATTAGGGAAGGAATTGTCCAGAATCTCCCAAATATCTTCAGTGTTTTGGGAAGTCATTGCTGTTTACTTTGGTTAATGACTAGACAAGTGCTTTTGTCGGGAAGGAAAACAGAATCTGTCAACCCCAGAACTGTGACTTCCTCCAGGGAGTTAAGTCTTATCCTATGCTCCCAAGGATCTAAAGTAACCTATATTAGTGATGCCAATGGCAAGGTGAGAGTTTGATTTATGCAAATATAATAAAGCCAACTAATTTTGGTAATAAGCAACATGAATCCTTTGAACTGTAAATAAAAACTTTAATGAGCTGGATACTAGATGTTGGAAAAAATATTTTCCTGGGCCAGGGATTTAGCTCAGTGGTGCCTCTGGCCTGCCTTGAGAGTGCAAGGTCCTGAGTTCGATCCCTGGTATCAAAAAAAAAAAAAATTCCCACACCCAGGAGAATTGTTTGTTAGATTCCTTCCTAAGCCGACAAAGCGAGTCTTTTACACAGTACACCTGTGAAAGTTCACAACTTGAGCAATCATAAGTCAGGGACTTCACGTGTAAAGAAAATTAGTGAAATGTTCCCTTCGTTCCTTCAGATAATTTCAGGCCTGCCTTTGGAACCTTGTTTCTCCAAGTAGGGTCTAATACTCAGGAGGTGTTTGCCTAGAGCTGCTGCTGTGAGACGTGGGATAGAAAGAAATACTGGTTTCTTTTTTGTGTGCTGGGGACTGAGGACCTCGTACTTACGAGGCTGAGCTAAATCCCCAGCCCTAAGAAATACTGGTTTCTACAGCAAAACCTCTGACCCATTTTTATACCTTGGACTTTTCAACAATTTGGTGGTTTCCAGACCTCTTCTCAAAATAATATATTTAATTCATAAAATGAAATACAGTATATAGTTATTTAAAAATTGTAAACCTGGTTTGGTGGTGCACACTTGTAATCCCAACACTCAGGAGGCTGGGGCAGGAGGATTGCCACAAGTTCAAGGCCAGCTTGGGCTATATAGTGAGCTCAAGGCCAGTCTGAACTACATAATGAAAACATGACTCTAAAAAAAAAAAAAAAAAAAAAAAAAGATGGCAAGAGCCACGAAATACTTTTAAAAGTGATAAATTTATTTATATATGTGTTTCTGCATTAATGAATTTAATTAAAAATCTAGTGACATATACCATTTTGAAGTCAAGGTAATGTGTATATATCAAATTACCTGTGAAATACGAGAAAATATTATTTGTGCTGGCAAAAAATGTCACAAGTGCAGCTAATCTTACTATAGTTTGTTACTTACACTTGAAATTGAAGAAATGCTTCAAGTAGAAGTTAGTGAAAGTGAAGGTTAATTTTCTTTTGTTTTAGTTCTGGATCTCTGAATTCTGTTTTAAAAATAAAAAAAAAACCTTACAAGGTCTTATGGCCTTCTGGACAAGACCTGCTGCTGCTCTAGAGTGAAGGCCAGGTAGTTGATTGGATTGCTGATCTTCTCGTCCACTTTTTCAGTCAATTACAGAGTTTGGTATGATGAAATCTTCCACTTCGTTATGGATTTCTCTTTTCATAGTTTTTGTTGCTGTTGTTGTTTTTGTTTTTTGTGGTACTGGAGATTGAACCCAGAGCCTTCGTACTGAGCTACATCCCCACTCCTTTTTTTATTTTTGTTTTGAGGCAAGGTCTCGCTAATTGGCTGAATTGCCCAAGCTGGGCTTGAAGTTGGCATCTCCTACCTCTCTTCCCACAGTGCTGGTTCCAGACACGTGTCACATGCCCACCTGGGATTTTTCTTCTTAAATTTTGATACTGTGTTACTTGATATGTCCCAATCTTCCTGGGGGGTAGAGCGGTTTATTATCACAGTACATTCCTCCAGAATGTTTCTTACCTTAAAGACTTCTTTTTCTAAGAGTAGTGTACTGGACCAGCTATTCTGGTTACAACAACCATGGTATATCTTTTTCCATCCTCCTAGGTAGAGCCTGTTTGTGTTTTTACATTTAAATTGTATCTTAAATAACATATCATTGGAATCTCTAAGATTCAGATCTGTCTTTGTATTTTAATTGGTGTAGTCTGTTTACCTTTTATATTATTACAAATCTGAAAAATCTGCCATTTTTTCTGATTGCTTTGTATTTATTTCACCTATTTTGTGTTCCTTTATCTTTGCCCTCTGTTGAACTAAATTTATATATTTTGATTTTGATATTTTTTTAACTTTTTTCTTCTTTGTAGCTTACTTATAACTTCTTTTACTTTTCTTTTGATGGATATCCTAGAGATTACAATATGCATCCTTGATTTGTTTGAGTCTCATATAAATTAGTAATTTACCACTTCCTATATAATTTACTACTTCCTATATAATACTTTAACTGCATTGATCATCACATGTCTCCCATGTTTATTTTGTTAGTGTTCGTGAAGATATACCAGATTTATCCAGGTTTCTATTGATCTTTCTTTCCTGTATCTTCATGCTTCATCTCCAATTACTTTTCATCTGCTTGAAAAATGCCCTTTATTGTTTAGTGTGTTTACTTTGAAATAGGTTTATTAGTGATGGATTCTGTTTTGTTTTATTTCTGTAAATGTCTCTAATTCACTTTTATTTTTGAAAAATATTTTTCATATGTTATAGAATTCTAGGGTAGTTTTCTTTAAGTAATTAGAAAGCATTGTGTTTTGGCTTCCATATTTTTATATTATGAAATTAGCTGTCAGTGCTCAGAGAATTTAACCCTTTTTCCTTTGGTTAATTTTTTGTCTTTGGTTTCTCATAGTTTTGTGTAATACCCATGGGGCTCATGAGCTTCTATAAGATTCTGTCTTCATTACTTTAGCTTATATCTGTCTGTCTGTCTTTCTGATCTGTTACTAAAAATGGTAAAATAATCCCGTGGAGAATTCCACTGAGACTGATTATCTCAGATCTTTCCACTGAGACTTCATCATTTTAGCCTTACCTTCCAGTTAGCATTACAGTGAACATTTCCTCATAAAATCCAGTCTTAGAGATGGCTTATCAAAGTCGGAAAAACTGGATGCAGATGATTGCTCCCGTTTGTTTTAATGCGCTCTGAGAGGTGTGCATGTGGGGTCTCCTCACCGAAACTGAAGGCAGCTCTCTGCTCTGTGTCTCTCAGTCACCTTCTTTTGGAATGGAAAGGAATCATTGTTTATTTGAAATTCCTTTGAATCATTTAATTTTAAAATGTTTTCCCAACCAATAAATAACAATATTTTAGTAATGTAGTTATTTAATCTAATTCAACTGAAAGTAAGTATAGCATCCATGGAAGAGGATTGAGCAATACAGTGGAAATAGTTCAGAACTGCGGGATCTCAATCAAGTCATTTAATCTTCTGAGCCTCAGAAATGGTCATGAGAAAAAAGAAGTGGTCACAACACCATGTTTGACAAGATTGCTCTATTATCCAGTTGTTCATTTGTTCAGTTTGAGCCACTAATTTGCATCCTTTGACTTTTTCAGTGACTGGTGAAAATGTTTGACTTAGTTATGTTGCTTTATACCTGAGTATATGAGATGAAATTGAAAATTCGGTGACAGTAAAGGGCACATTGCCATAAATCCCCCCTCAGAGTCCTCCCTCTCGCTTCCAACGTGTGTCCCATTTTTCTTGCCACTTTCTAAAGCAGTTCTGAAAGTCCTTTTTCATGAGTGTCTTTTATGGTGCTGTCATAGCTTCCTTGATGTCTTCATCAAGGAACATTTACGTTTCATTAGAGTCATTTTAACTTTGGAGAAGAGCCAAAATTTTGTGCACAAATATGGAAATTTATATGAAACGGAGAAAAAATTCTACCCAACTATTGTCTAGCTCCCACCTTTGTCATGAAATTTCTTTTAATTACTTTAGGTTTTTTGTTTTGTTTTTTCCTTTCCTCCAGTCTCTTTTTCCCACTCCTTTATTCAGTACTCTATAGATTTCAAGTGAAAGAAATCCAATTCAAAGTAGTTCATCCAACAAGTGGTTATTGGTGGAATGTGGGGATGATGACTAAACGGGTAGAAAAGCTACTGGACAGGGACAGTTCCTGGGGCCGGGATCAGTGTCCGTACTGTTGAGCTGTTTGTGTCATTGAAAGCTCTAGAAGATTACTGCCCTAAGTGTTTCCCCTCACTTGTGCCCACTCTGATCCTTGCTTCTCACTTTCCTGTGTTGACTTGATTCCTACGTTCATGGTCTCCCTTTGTAGTGAGGCAGCTCCAGGTTTACTTTATCCCAGTTTAGTGAGCCCAGAGAAAGAAAAGTTTCTTCCTCCAGGGCCCATTCAGTACATCTGAATCCAGTGAAAATTCTTTGTTCCAGCTTCAGCTGTATTCGTGTCTTTTAGACCAGTTATTCCAAGCGGAGGTATGAGGTGCAGCTGTTAGACCGAGCGTAGTGATTATCCCTGAGTGGGAGTGGGAGGAGTGCTGACTTTGACAGACCCACCAAAGCTGCAAAGGATGGCGGGGAATGAGCACCCAGGGGAAGGAGGGTGTTGAAAGAAGGGGACAGAAAACAGCAAACGCACGCAGGTTTCTGGTAAGGCACTTGTCTTTGTCCTACATATGGGCACTTTGATATTGTGAATTATTTGACACCAAAGAGTATAGAGTTAGGAGTCAAGCAGCTGGAATTGGATCTGCTTGATTTTTTTTTTATTTTTTTTGTGTAAGGGGGAGTCAACTCAGGACTTTGTGCTTGCTAGGCAGGCAGTGGCACCACTGAGCTAAATTCCCCAGCCCCCTGTTTGAATTTTTTAATGGCACCTTGCATACAACTAGATGCTCAACAAGTAATTGCTTATTTAATTCCTGTTTGGAATTTGGTACCTTTCATTATTTTGGTTAATTTTAGTCACAGTTTTAGGCAGATACTTTCTTTTCCACTTTTAGTTTTGAAATAAATTATTGCAGTGGCACCACTGAGCTAAATTCCCCAGCCCCCTGTTTGAATTTTTTAATGGCACCTTGCATACAACTAGATGCTCAACAAGTAATTGCTTATTTAATTCCTGTTTGGAATTTGGTACCTTTCATTATTTTGGTTAATTTTAGTCACAGTTTTAGGCAGATACTTTCTTTTCCACTTTTAGTTTTGAAATAAATTATTTAATAATTGCTTGTGTTTCATTCAAGATCTTCACAGATACAGCTGCTGATAACTTGAAATATATAATAACTGAACAAAATTCCCTTTAATGTTATTACAAGCAAAGTATTCTCCCATATTTAAATGAATTGCTTTTTAATTGAAAATGCTATTCCAAATTAAAGAATTGGTTTATTAAAGATTCTGTGTTCTTGAGAAATGAACTGGTATGAAAGTAGGTGATCTTAACATATATTTGTCTCAGTAGCTGCTTGGCCTAAATACTTGTATCCAAGATTTTATCATCTAAATTTTTAAAAATTTAAATCTTTAACTTGTTGTAGGACTTTTGTCTTTTAATGTGAATGTCACATTCGATAAATGAGGGTATTTAAATCATGCAAGTATTAATTTATTTCCATTTTATCCTTAGGAACTGAGAGAAAGCTACAATACACAGCAGCTAGCCCTTGAACAGCTTCATAAGATCAAACATGACAAGTTGAAGGAAATTGAAAGAAAAAGATTAGAGCTAATACAGAAAAAGAAACTAGAAGATGAGGCTTCAAGGTAATATAACTTATAATATGCTTCGTTGCTAGTAGAATTCTAATTTTATTGCCTGTATCTTTAGCTTAACTATGGAAATTTAAGGGGAAGAAAAAATTACGCTAGCATGCTAATCATATTCTAAATTTTATAAATTCAATCCTCCTCTTCAGTCATGAATTTTATGTTTTGTAAGTAAAAAATACAGACTTCAGAGCAAGACCTGAGTTAGAATTCTTCATGTGCCACTTAGGACCTGGGTATCCAGGTTAAGTCACTTAATCTTTCTAAACCTCAGTTTCTCCATCTGAAAAAAAGACATTAATACACACAGTTTTTTGTGGTTTTTTTTGTTTTTGTTTTGTTTTGTTTTTTTGGTACTGGCGATAGAACTCAGGACCTTGCCCTTCCAAGGCAGGTGGTGGTACCACTGGGCTAAATCTCCGGCCCAATACACACAGTTGTAATAGGTAGTAGTGAACATTAAATCATCTAATATAGTGCACAGTATATTATCTTGCATGTAACAAGCAGTCATTAGTTCTATTTTCCTATAGGAAATCTATTACTTTTTCTGGAAAGATCATAAAAAACAAGTATTTAATTTTAATTTTATAGGAAAAGATTGTGTGTCAAATACTGTACTGGTGCATTTCTCTTTATGCCACGGAGATGCAGTATACTGATTGTCTCCATCTATAGCAAATTCTTTTTTTTAAGTATACTGAGTCTCCATCTATAGCAATTTCTTTTTTTTTTCTTCTTCTTTTTTTTTTTAGCAAATTCTTAAGAAGTAAATTACACGGGATATCTAAAGCCTAGAACCATTCCTTTAGTGATTTTACATGACTTTTTCTATCATTAAGATCCTTTTTTCTGGCCAGATGTGGTGTTGCACACCTGTAATCCTAGTGCTCTTGGAGGCTAAGGCAGGAGGATCCCAAGTTCAAGCCCAGTCTGAGCAAAACTTAGCAAGACCCTGTCTCAGAATTTTAAAAATTTAAAAGGGTAGCTTATTGTGGAGGCCCTGGCTTCAATCCCAATATTTTTTAAAAATAAATCCTTTCCTGATATAGTCCTCTTTCCCCCAAGTTATCTAGTGTAAGAAGTTAGTATACTTGTTTAACAAATATCAATAAGCCAATATTCTTTGGCTGTGGTGAAGAGTAGATGAGTAATGTCTGCAAAAGAGCTGGTCACTGAGGAAGAAAGAAAGACTGCTACATTTACAGACTTCATTCTTGATCTCAGAAAAGCAACTTCCAGCACATTTTTATTGGCAGACTATACTGTGTACACTGAGTTGCAGGTAAACCCTGAATTACCCTTTGCTTCTGGATTCCTCATAATTATAGTAGGGGATTCAGACAGTTAAATAAGTAGCTTGAATACTGTTTACTCTAAAATCCCTACTTTTGTGGCCTCCTAATGAGAGATAATAGAATACTATAGAAGTAGAAACAGTGGAATTCTTCATTTGCCACTTAACGTTGCACAAGGGAATTTTGCAGTGGTTACACCGCTAGTCATTGTGTCAGAACTTTCTGTTGACACTCACAGTTACATTGGTAACTCTTCATTCCACTCATAATTTCTTTTAGCCAACAGACCACATGAGTAATACACACTTTCATTTCATTCACCACCCTTGCCTATTATCTTACTGCAGTGGAGGGAAGAAAACAAAGACAAAGAGGACAGAAGTATGTGTAGGATCTAATCCGTCCAGAGCTGGGTTTTAGTACTGCATTTTAGATCATGTGGTTGTTTGCTCAGGTATTATCCCAAGTTACTGATAACAGGTTTCACATTATAGATGTGGCCCCTTTTGTCCGGCTTCTGAGATATCTTCTGGCACTGAACCAGTTTCTTATCCACTAGCTCTTGCATAAGAAAGTTTACCAGAATTGAATGACCTCTCTGGTGTTTTATTTATCGCACTGATATGTGGTAGATACTTGGATAGTGGTGTTTAAATGCTATGAGAAATCAAATGAGGCTAATACAGTCACTGTAAGCTTGGAAGGCATCAGGAAAAACACAGGGGAGCTGGAAAAGTCAGCTGAAGGGAAGTAAAGATGACCAGAAAAACAGTCCTCCAGGAAACCCAAATTTCAGTTACAGAAAGCCCTTGGAGAAAGCACCCTGTGATGAAAAAGACAGGACAGGAGGGTTTAGAAAGGGTTGAAGGAAGCTGATGGGGCATCAGGAAACCAGGAGACAGTTTGGGGATGAAGAGAAAAGACTAAATGATCAAGGGCCTACAGTTGTTTGTATTATTCAGGGTTTCCAAATTTGATTAGGAATTAAGGAATAGGAACTTTAGACGTAAGCCAGGATTCCCACTTTGATGGGGTATGTGCTCTCCAGTCCCAGTGATAGACGGCTACAGTCTATCGCTATAGGCTACAGTCTATAGGCTCCACTGCCTATATCGTGCCTTGAGAAGGTACTAAATTTAGTGGTGGCTCTTCTGCCTCGTAGGAAGTTTATAAAAATACATGCAAGGGAAAACTATGGTGTGTACTATTAGTTCTAACACTAAAATAATTAAATCTGATTGAAGATCATCTTAACTATCAGCTGGACCTGGTGGTAAACGCCTATAATCCCAGTACTTAGGATGGGACAGGACAGCTGCTTTGAGTTCAAGACCATCCTGGGCTACAAAGCAAGACCCTGTCTTTAAACAAACAAACAAACATCTCAGTGATCAAATGACAGAAGCGTGGTCCTATGGGCCTACAGAGAAAAATGTTATCTAAGCAAGTATAAAAAACTTTTTGAGAAGATAGTTCAAAAAGCAGGCAAGCTTTTCAGAAGCATCTCCCACTTCCACAGCACTAAGTTCCCACGGCAAGGACTAGAGAGAACAGGAGGTTAAAGCTGGAAGTCCGGCCTCCTGAAGAATCTGGGTGGGAAGGATTTTTAGATGTTTGCAAAATTGTTCCATTTTTTCCCCTCCTCTCCTTGGATTGGGAAGTTGGCTGCAGTGGGTAGTTTGAGGTGTGGGGAACTCTCAGTTATGCTTCCCAGCTGACCCCTTAGCCCAAGACTGATTGACTGGCTTCAGTTTGATCCACCTCTGCTATTTCTCCCATCCCTCCACTAATACCTTGTTGCTAGTTCTCCAGCTACAGGAACCAGAACTTCTATTACATTTTTATTTAGTGTAAAGAAAACATTATGGCATTATGCAAACTGCTTTTGTTCTATTTCAAGGAAAGCAAAGCAAGGAAAAGAAAATTTATGGAGAGAAAGTCTTAGAAAGGAGGAAGAAGAGAAACAGAAGCGACTTCAGGAAGAAAAAACACAAGAAAAAATTCAAGAGGATCGAAAAGCTGAAGAGAAACAATGTAAGGAAAAGATAAAAATATATTTGATTCTCTTAAGGCAAAGCAACAATCTAATGAGAGACAGAAAAAAGAAAAAGCAAAGATGCTAATCTTAGAAAAAACATTTAGAATTAATCTTGGATGAGAAGTCTGTAGACCTCCTAAAATAGAGGACAGAAATCTTAAGCACAGCAGGAGGAGAGCAGATAGTGTACCACTGACTGCCTGAAAAGACCCTGGCATAGTTTTCATAAGTACTGTATAAACAGTTTTGAATATTTTATTCAATCAGTATAACTAAGCTTTTTTTTTTGGTACCAGGGCTCGAATTTGGGTCCTTGTGTTTACAAGGCAGGCAGCGGAACCACTAAGCTAAATCCCCAGCCCTAAGCTATTTATTTTAATGAAACAACAGTAAATTTTAAGGTTTTACATATTGAACTTTTCTCAGAAGCAATACTTTGGTTTTTTTGGGTTTTGTTTGTTTTTGGTACGGGGGATTGAACTCAGTCCTTGAGCTTTTGAGGCAGGTGGTGGAACCACTACATTGAACTTTTCTCAGAAGCAATACTTTGGTTTTTTTGGGTTTTGTTTTTGGTACGGGGGATTGAACTCAGTCCTTGAGCTTTTGAGGCAGGTGGTGGAACCACTGAACTAAAGCCCTGGCCCTGCAATCAAACACTTCGTTTTTTATCTCCCTCCCAGGCCTTTCGTATAGTACTTTAATATGGTTGTATCCTCTTTTGCATGCATAAACCTTTCAATTCATATTAACAGTACAATGTGTTCAGAATGTCACAAGCTAAAGCATCTATTCTAAAAATGAGCAAGTAAAATATTTCTAATCTTATCAAATCGAGTAGACTTCTACTGTTTGACCTTTAGTAGCTCACTGGTAACTCTTCAGCCAACCTGGTTTACTTGTTGATGTCATTTGTGACCCTTTGTGCTTTTCTTCCCTGTTGGGTCCTGACCCCCACAGAAGAAACCCTGCTTAATCCCCTTCCCCTGTGCAGGGTGTGGCCTGGCCTGGCTCCATCCCCACCCTCCAGGATCCTGTGCCTCAGCCTGCACAGCTTCCCTGTTTTACTGCCTCCTGCCTTATTTGAGAGGAACATCCTTCTTTGCTTTAATATTGACTATATGATTGGTTGGGACCTTTAAGTCCTAACAAGTCTGTGTCCAGTGAATTTTCATTGTACCTTTTTGATGCTCAACTTTTTCTTTCAGGTTTTAAGAGGTCTTTATTGATTCATAGCAAAGATGTATATACATGAAAGTAGCAGCTTATAACAATTACCTTCTCTTTAGGTGAGACAGCTACTGCTTTGGTGAATTATAGAGCATTATACCCCTTTGAAGCAAGGAACCATGATGAGATGAGTTTCAGCTCTGGGGATATAATTCAGGTAGGAAATAAAGTCTTTTTTCTACCGAATAAGCTGAATACATTGTAAAATATTACTTTCTATAATAACACATTGACCAGAATTTTTCAGTTATTTTCTTAAAGTTTCATAAACATCACTTCAGTTGGTCCTTAGAACACGCCTCCTGTGTAACATTCCTGTGTATAGAACTGTTTTTATTACTACTATATTCTAGGCACGGAAGCTTAGAGTCACACAAATTGTAACTGTCAGCATTGCAGTGCCAGAGTGGAATGCAAGTATTTGTCTTTTGATTCCCAAGTACAGTGTTCTTTTAACTATGCCATGTTGTTTCCCATTATAAAAGGTGGTTCTGATTATATTATTTTAACAAATTAAAAATAAAATTTTGAAGGTGGGTATGGTGGCACATGCCTGTAATTCCATCACTAAGGAGGCTGAGGCAGGAGAATCACCATGAGTTCAAGGCCAGCCTGAAATACATAGTGTGACTCTGTCTCAAAATATCAAAAAAAATAAAATTTTGAGGCACTGGTTATTTTGTGGTAACTGTTAAAAAGCACTAGAATTAGGTTCTGAAGCCCTTGGAACAAAGGTTATTGCATTGTCACAATCTGTACAATGTATGCACAGGAGAAGATTCAGAGAGTCGCTTTTGCTAGAGCTAGTATAGTATAATGGAAACAGTATAGGTTTTAGAAGCTGCAAACTTGGACTTTAGTTTCTGTATGGTATGTGAATTATATCTTAACAGGCCATTATTTAAAAACAAAAAGAAGGGCTGGGATTTAGCTCAGTGGTGCCCATGCCTGTCTGGCAAGTACAAGGTCCTGAGTTCGATTTCCAGTACCAAAAAAAAAAAAAAAAAGAGTTGAATGTGTACCTTCTATATGACCCAGCCATTCCACACTTAGCTATTTCCCCAAGAAAACAAAGTATTTCCATATGAAGGGAAATGTTCATAGCAGCTTTATTTGTAATAGCTAAAGACTGGAAAGAACTCCATTGTTTTATCTGCTGATGAGAGGATGAACAAAGTTTGGCATTTCCATATGATGGAATAACTCAAGCAACAAAAGGAGCGAAGGCCGCGGTGAATATCAGGCACTGCAGACACGCATTAATAAAACAAGAATTGGAAGAAAGGAATGAGTGACTTATACTCGTTATAATGTGGACAGGCTGCAAAATCAGTTGTGTGAAAGAAGGCAGATAGGAAAAGGACACATATTGTATAATTTTATTTATATAAAATTCTAGAAAGTGCAGACTAATCTATAGTAACAGAAGGCAGGCCAGGATTGACAGTGGAACAGGAGGAAACTTTGTGGGGTGATGGGCATATTCGTTATCTTGATTGACATTGATTTATGCAGGCATATACGTATTTTAAAACATCAAATTTAACTTCTTAAATGTGAAATTAATGTTAATCATACCCTCAAAAGCTATTTTTATAAATATTAATGGGTTCTGTATGATTTTAATGGAAAGTGGAGCAAAGACACAGTTGGCATATTTATTCAGCAAAGTAGGCAGATATGTACAAGGCTAGATGGAGTCAATAAAAAGGCTCACAGACAAACAGAAGAGATGTGCACATAAGCAATACAGTGTGATATGCTATTTATGATAGTATATGTACTCTGGCCTGATTTGGGGAAGTTGATAATCTTCAAGGATCAGTAAAGATTACAGTGATTTTTGGTACAAAATGCTGGATGTGGTGGCATACTTCTGTAATTCTAGCATTCTGAGAGGCTGAGGCAGGAAGGTTGCAAGTTTGAGCCTAGCCTGGCCAACTTAGTGAGTTAATGAGACCCTGCCTCAAAAATAAAAATAATTAGAAGGGACTAGGGATATAGCTCAGTGTGGATAATGGAACAAATTTAAGAAATAGCAGGATCAACGTAGTATTTAGTAATACAGAAGAAACCAAGAAGAATGTCAAGTTTTGCTATTCAGCAATGGAAATCAGGGCAAAGGAGCCTTGGCTTGGGGAGATTGTTTTTCATCACAAGCTCTGCATAATGCTGTTTGTCTTTGTAAACTGTTTCCATGCATTCACTTGGATAAAATAATAACCTAATAATTTGGAGAAAAAGCCTTAACTATTAATTAATAGGTTCAGTTCTGAAAGTGAGAATACCATACAGTAGTCTGCACCTTTTTCCACTGTAAATATGTTGGGTCTGAGCAATGTTAGTAACTCTTCTTTTTGTTTCCATAGGTTGATGAAAAAACTGTAGGAGAGCCTGGTTGGCTTTATGGTAGTTTTCAGGGAAGCTTTGGCTGGTTTCCAGGCAACTATGTAGAAAAACTGCCATCAAGTGAAAAAGCTATGTCTCCTAAGAAGGCCTTACTTCCTCCCACAGTATCTTTACCTGCTACCTCATCTTCGTCCGAGTAAGTTTTGAGTTAATGGTGCAATTCCTTTCTCTGTCAGTATGTAGATGCTAGTGCATAATTGTGTCAGCCTGATACTTCCTCATACTGCTAATTAGGGCTGAACTTTCCCAAGAGGACCTCTCGTTCCAAATCTAATACTGAAATGTATCAAATGAAAACATGGGTCAGTAGTTTGTTCATGAATTGTTTTTTCCCACAAACTGTGTTTAAACCTACTGTATATGATATACTAGTAGAAAAATTGATGGTACTTCATTAGGGTCTAAACAATTAAATATATTAAAGTGTTATATTTGCAGACCACTTTCTTCAAGTCAACCAGCATCAGTGACTGATTATCAAAATGTATCTTTTTCAAACCTAACTGTTAATGCCTCATGGCAGAAAAAATCAGCTTTTACTCGCACTGTGTCCCCTGGGTCCATATCACCTATCCATGGACAGGTATGTGGTGTGTAATTTTGTGTACTTTATTCTGTGAATTTGCTCTGTTAATATGAAACTGAATGAAGACTTTGTACCAAGGCGTTATTCACTCATTTAACCAAAGCATCTGTTTTCTCTGCTTAACATGTGATGTGAAATTGAAGAATGATTATTAGACAATTTTCAGTAATTAATTACCAGAACAGTTTTTTCTAAAATAAGTAATTTATCTGAGAACCTTGGAACTTTATTATATGCATTTAGTCTCTTAAATTAGATAATAATCATTATAAGTATTGTTACCTTAACATTTCTAAAAAAAATTGCAGGCTTTATCACAATAAAGTCCTATAAGATTCACCTTGATTCATAAATGATTATTAAATCATTATAGATTCTCAAATTTTATTGTGCACTAGAAGTTAAAGGAAAAACAAGTTAGAATTTGCTGCCTTTAAGTAATTCATAATCTAATAAAGGAGAAAGATATGCCAATAACTACAAAGTAGGAGAAATGTAATAAAGATTCTTACAAAATTCTGAAAGGAGATATGCCAATAACTACAAAGTAGGAGAAATGTAATAAAGATTCTTACAAAATTCTGAAAGGAGATATGCCAATAACTACAAAGTAGGAGAAATGTAATAAAGATTCTTACAAAATTCTGAAAGGAGATATGCCAATAACTACAAAGTAGGAGAAATGTAATAAAGATTCTTACAAAATTCTGAAAGGAGATATGCCAATAACTACAAAGTAGGAGAAATGTAATAAAGATTCTTACAAAATTCTGAAAGGAGAAAACATCTCAGTCTGGGAATTGGAGTCATCTTCACTAATGGAACATATTTCAATAGGGCCGCCATTGATAAGCAGGATTTCACCAAGCAGGAGTTATTCCAGTGAAAGTACAATTTGGAGAGTCACTGAAGCATAGCAGTACAAACTGCCATATTTTCCCCAAAATAAGACTGAGGCTTATATTAACTTTTGCTTCAAAAGACCCAGTAGGACTTAATTTCATGGGATGTCTTATTTTTCATGTACAATAATCTACATTTATTCATGTAGAAAACTACATTTAAGCCGGGCATGGTGGCACGAGCCTGTAATCCTAGCACTCGGGAGGCTGAGGCAGGAGGATCGCTGTGAGTTTGAGACCAGCCTGGGCACACAGTGAGTTCCAGAGCAGTCTCAACTACATAGTGAGACCCTGTCTCAAAAAAACAGAAAAAAAAAAAAGAAAACTACATTTATTCAGATACCCGCATATCCCCTTCCTCTGGAAAATTGTCGGTTATTCTTCAAACCCCAAATTCCGGTCTGAATTCCTTGTGACTCCATTTCCGGTAGAACCATTGGCCCCCATCTCATGACCAGCGCTCCTTAAATGAGCGCTCTTGTCCATGCAGCCTGCTCACAGTGCATTGGCAACACAAATGTCATTGATGTTATCCCATGAATTCTTCACCCAAGTCACGATCTCTTGCAGGTAAGGCTTCACAAAGTTTCCATTAAATCAAAAGACTTACAAGACAAGAGAGGCAACAAAAATGACATTTAACAATGATGGTCCTCACAAAAGTAAAGAAAAATTGCAGGCACCAAATTCAGGAAATATTTCTTTATTTCACATGAGTGCATTAAATATGTCTGTTGCAATATACAGCGTATGGGTTCTTATTAGACACATCCACGTCCATTCGTTATCAGATGTGCACATCACTGGTGCGTTGTGTCTGTGCTCTGATTGGTCACTGGCAGTAAGTCTCAAGTTCCTCTGTTTACATAGGTGTTTATTGCTCATTCAAAGTGCTCACTTGTGTACTTACAAATACTTAATTGTAATTTACTATTTAAGTAGTAATGTCAGTGTTATGTATTTACATTTAATTACATATTTCTTTTACAGTTCACTACTTCTGCCGTGTGTTGCGACAAAGCATATGTGTTTGGCTGATGATCTTAACTGGGGCTTACCGTGGGAGTGGGGCTTATAGTACAACCATCCTGAAAAAATTGTGCAAGGGTTTATTTTCTGATTGGGCCTTATTTTCAGGGAAATACAGTGATTGTGGGAAATGATAATTGCTTAGAGAGTATAGTTAGAATACAGGATTCATAGAGAAAGGGTTAAGAGGTGAAGTTGAGGTTTATTGATGAGCATTTAATACCATGTTAGACGACTTGGTAGTGACAAGCCGAGAGAGGTTTTTAAGAGAGGAATTAATGGTATGCTTAAGAAAAATAACTCTGGTGGTAATGTAGAGGCTATATTGGCAGAAGGAAGCAAAGGAAGATTAGTTAAGAGGGGCTAATACAATAACTAAGTTATGAGATGTGTTGTAAACCAGTGGTGTAGTAATAAAAATGATAGAAGGTATAAAGAACTGACATAAAAGCCGGGGGTTTAGCTCAGCGGTGCCGCACCTGCCTTGCAAGCACAAGGTCCTGAGTTCAATCCCCGGTACCAAAAAGAATTTCCGTAAAATAGTTCATTGAAGGTGGAGAGTGAAAAGGAGCTGGAGTTAAAGATAATTCTTTAGTCTTTAACTCGAGCACCTGAAAGAACTTTGATATCGTTGTCTTTGATGGACAGTGCTGGTAGAGTGGGTTTAGTGTTCCTAAACCCTCAGAGTGATTACATTTCAGGATATGCTGACTTGAGGTGTCTGCCAGAGGGAACACCCAGCAGGTATTTGATATGCAAGTTGGGAGCTCAAGAGATAAAGTTACACTGGAAAGTATAGATTTATAGGGAGGCATAAATAAGATTACCTTGGAGGTCATGTGGAACAGTAAGGGAAAAGGGCTGGACAAGAGGACCCCTCAGTTACCAGAGGAGCTTCAGGAACTACAGCAGTGTCAGCACTGTTCCGAGATCAAGGCGAGGAGGCTTTCAGAAGAAGCTTTTCACTTTGCTGTTGTTATTTGTAACCCGTCCGGAAAAGGTTCAGTCGTGTGGTGATACAAAACCTAAATTGTAAGGGATTGAGGGGTGACACCGGAAGATAACTTTAAGACAGTTTTTTCTTTAGGGAGTTTAGACACAGAAGAAAGTAGAGAAAAGAGGGACTTGATGATTACAAAATACTTTTAAAACGTGAGAGGGCGTAATACAGTATTTAGAAGACTAGTGCGAGGTAGGCTTTGCTTGTACCCTTGAGTACTCACCGCTTCCCTCTGTATCGGTGATGTTTTCTGAATGGCAGGTGTTCAGGAAGTCTGCTCCTGATTGGGTTGTCCCTCATACAAAGTTTTAGGGCAGGTGGTAGATTGCCGTTAAGTCACCACCACACCAAACCAATCTCTGTTTGCACAATAAATATGTTATATCCTGGGAAGCCGACATCTTGGTAACCATGGTATTTCATTTGTTTTTCCCTGTGTGTGTGGCTGTGTGTTCACAGGGGCAGGTTGTAGAAAACCTGAAAGCACAGGCCCTTTGTTCATGGACTGCCAAGAAAGATAACCACTTGAACTTCTCAAAGCATGACATCATTACTGTCTTAGAGCAACAAGAGAATTGGTGGTTTGGGGAGGTACATGGAAGAAGAGGCTGGTTTCCAAAATCTTACGTCAAGATCATTCCTGGGAGTGAAGTGAAGCGTGAAGAGTAAGCGTCTCTGTTTCTATGAGATGTGGATATTGGTGCTCTCACTAATAAGGCAGCCATTGTGTGACAGATTTGCAGTAATAAAAGTTTGTGCTTGAGTTTGGTACCCAAAAGATGATTCTCAGGGTAAAAAGGCACATGCAGATGCTTGAACTTGTTTTAAACTATTCTTCAAGTTTTTTTTTTTCAGATTTATAAAGTTTTCAAAGTGTTATACTTGAAATCTTAATGTATTGCTTTCTTGATGCCATAAGCTCAATTAGAGAAATTATTTTTCATTTCCTTAGGGGCATTTCTCCCTTGTTTACTAAAACTTTTCATCTTTAAATAATTATTTTTTTGTTGTTTTGTTTCTGTACTAGAGATTGAACCCAGGGCCTTCACACTGAGCTAAGTCCCCAGCACTGTTTTATTACCCAGGTGGGGCTCAAACTTGTGATGCTCCTGCCTCAGCCTACCAGGTGCTGGAATACAGGTGTGCTCCACTCCACCCCACTTCTAAATAATTCCTGACTGAGGGCCTCACCTTTACCAGCTTGGAGCATTCCCACCTCTGGGCATCTGGGGTTCCTTAAACGTCACGTCACAATTGCCCATAGCGTGTAGTGTTACAGTTACTGACTTTTTAAGCCTGTATTGTTATCGAGGAACCTCATGGAGCTTCCGGTCCATCTTTTTTATGGTAATCATTTATTTTTCAGTTTTTTCGTGCCTAATACAATCTTTGTACATAATAACTTGAATTACGTTAGCTCAGCGAATGAGGAAAGAAATAAATGATCAAATGAATGAACTTTCAAATGAGCAGAAACCGAAAACTAGAGAGTTAAGATCTGGCCTTGATTTCCTGGTCTGTGGAGGAATCAAGTTATCCAATATCTTTAATACAAAGAAGAAATATACTGTAGCATGGCTGTGGGTAGCTGTCTTCCGTGGTTCACATGGAAGCTCATCTGGACAGAAGAGCAGTCTGACATAATGAAAGGCGCTGCTCTTGGGAACAGGAGACCTGAGTTCCAGTTCTACTGTACTTGCCAGGCCACAGAGAAACCTGCGGTCTTCTGTGCTCTGACTGAATGGGAAGATTGAACTAAATAACCTTTAAGGATTCTTTGAGTGCTGAATCTCTGCTTAATAATGTTTGGTTCAAATGTAGGAATTTGCTTTTCAAATTGACATAGAATTTTGGAAGTGTGAAATAACAACAGTAATACATTGCTGAAATTTGTGTGCCAACATTGTGCCTGGCCCTCTGTAGGAAATCTTATTTAATCTTCTTCATGTTTTACACAGAAGAAAACTTAAGCTAAAAGAGATGATGTTTACATGTTTTAGAGGGCATTTCCTCTAATTTTCCATTCAGTTACCTGTTCATTCTAAACGATCAGGGCCGTGTAACTTGAGAGCCTGCAGTAGTGGAGACTTCAGCACTAAACGTGGCAGTCTCTTCAGTCCTGGCCGTGAGTTTTAGTAAGGTTTCCCTTCTGTCAACCTGAAAACCACTTCACTTACACTGAAAAGTTCATACCGAGGCCTGGGGCCTGGTGTGTCCTACTGGTATCTAGTCCATAAACCTGACAGGCTTCCTGACTTTTGAAAACAGGTTTTCTATATTAAAATGAAAATTAAAGTTATACTGTTCTGAGATCTAAGAAAGCTTTTATTACTTATGTATTTTAGTGTAATATACTATAAACAAATAAAAGCCGTTTTATTGCCCAAGCCAGGCCTTGTAAATGCTTTACCAAAGGACTTGCCTACTTTGTAATGTGCCAGTGTCTTAAGTTCCATCTGAAAGATAGTTCTGCTCACATTTGAGACACTGCAAACCATATTGAACTTACTTTAGTATAAAGTGTAGAAGTTTATAATTAGATGTTCTTTCTGCAGAAGGATTTTGTGTATGAGAGAATTGATAGACTATACTGAGACAGGGAATTAATTTGAGAAAACCCTAAAACAATGTACTGCTGAAACTGAAATATTCATCAGATCACTGTTCTTGGTTTGTTTGGTTTTTGGGGTTTTTTGCTGCTGTTGTTTTGATTGTTTGTATCTTTTTCATTTGTTTCATTTTTGTTTCTTATGGTGTATTTATTTGGCAGGCCAGAAGCTTTGTATGCACCTATAAATAAGAAACCTACCTCCACAGCCTATCCAGTTGGAGAAGGTGAGCTTTTGGCAGTCATAAATTAAATGGGAGTCATTTTAGTGACTGACTCATTGTTTGACTTCACACATTGTTTTTCTCCCTGTTTCTGTACCTTGGCATTAAAGTGAGGTTAGGAAAACGTGCTGTATCTGTTCACATTAATGTTGAAGATACTGAGAAAACATGGCTTGGTACTTTTAGGAAATCAGTGCTAAAAAATGTCAGCAAAGACTGGTTTAGTAAATAAAATTATAAATAGTGCTACAATGACTGCAGATTTTTAGGGGGTAAGAAAACCTTGGTACATGTACTTTTCTACAAACTGCGCTTCATTTATAGTATGCCATATAAATCATTAATTAAGATTTGAAATTATGGTACTGTTTAAATACTGCAAAGAATTTTAAAGAATTTTTTTTTGTATAGCCTTTTGAGTTGTTTGGTTAATAAATTATTTTGATTTTGCTAATGTGAAAAATGAAATTTCAGGCCATATTTCTTTTCTTTTCTTTTTTTGTTTTTTTTGTTTGTTTTTTTTTTTTTTTTTTTCCA